GAATCGTACATCAAACGCATCTCAGCAAACACTCAGGCTTCCTTTCTTCATGTACTATCAGAGCAAAAATAAGACGTGTCTGCTATTCCCCATCCGATCAGAGACAAGGTCACAATGAGAAATGGATGAAGAAATTAGAATGTAAGATGGTGATCATCATATCACACTATAAATGATCTGGGGCCACAGTGACCCATTAGTCAAGAGTGACCAGGAAGTAATGTTTTAAACTTAGTAGTAAATAAACATGAATTCTCTGGGTGAGTTGGGGGTAAGGACCAGACTCTCAGGTTGCCTACCTCTTAGGAGCTCTTGGGATTGTATGAAGGGCAATCTTTAAAGAGTTTTTTAATATTGAGACATAGTGAAGTAAGACAAGAACTTAAACCAGCCAGGCTGCTGCTTTAAAATGATTGTCTTGTTCCAAAAGATGACTCATTATCTTTCCGTTCTTTCTGCTTAGCAGCTCTACACTTGGCTGCTTCTTATGGCAGCTCCTTGCCATTGTTTTTATATGTGGCTTCTAGAGTAAGCAAAATAGCCATGTCTGAGTCTGGGACACAATCACCATGTTTGCCAGGGCTGGACCTCAGGGATGCTTATAGACTCAGGCAGGTTTGAGTTTAGTGGTCACCTGAGAATTTATTCAGAATCCTCAGGACCTCCTATCTCTCTGTAAGATTTCATGCTGGAACACAGGAATATAATTCTGTCTTTAAAGGGTGTCATCTTTGTAAAGGCTGAGCAAGAAATGTTGAGGAAACAAGAGCACATGACCCATGCGGGGGCTACGTGGGGACAGCAGGACTTGGAGAAAGAAGGTAGCAATCCACTAGTGGAGGCTTGAAAGACAGGACATAATTTGATGAAAGGGGTATAGACATTTGAATCAGAAAAAAATTAGTCAAAAAGACCAGAACAGAGGTAGGAAGTCAGAGCACAGTGATCAGGGAACTGCAGGGAACTGTCAATAAAATGGCTGTAGCTAAAGAGCCCAGCAAGAGATGAGAGCTTGGAGAAGTCAGGAGGCACCAGATCCTGAAGACCTTCTGAGCTGAGCAAAGGAACTTTGTCTTGAATGCTCTGAGGATCCTAGGAGGCTTGTTTGTTTGGGAACCTGTAGTGGGTAGCTGTTCCAGTTATGACCTTGAAACACTGCCCCTAATGAGGCAGCAAGCAACTGCTACACCTGCCTATGACCTTGAAGTACCTGTCCTTGGGGCATGGCCACTGGGGACCCTTAAGACCTGGGATGCACATGTGTAAGCAGCCCCTTCTTCACTTCCTCGTGGTTTTGGATGCTGGGACGGACCAGGCAGATCCCAGGCGGAAGAACAGTGTGGGACCATGCCTTACCCTTCCAGGATGCTACGGCAAACTCCTCTAATTTGTCTTGTGAGTTTTCTTTCCCAAATAAATTCCTATGCCCTTAAAGCAGACTCCGTGGATATCTCTCATTAGGAACCTTTTTTCTTTTCTTTTCTTTTCAAGATTTATTTATTTATTATGTATACAGTGTTCTGTTTGCATGCATCCCTGCAGGCCAGAAGAGGGAACCAGATCTCATTATAGATGGTTGTGAGCCACCATATGGGTGCTGGGAATTGAACTCAGGACCTCTGGAAGAACAGCCAGTGTTCTTAACCTCTGAGCCATCTCTCCAGCCCAGGAACCTTTTTTCTTCTTCCTCCTCCTCCTCCTCCTCCTCCTCCTCCTCCTCCTCCTCCTCTTCTTCTTCTTCTTCTTCTTCTTCTCTTCCTCTTCCTCCTCCTCCCCCTCCCCTCCTCCTTTGATTGCAAGTATAGCTGGACCTCTATATTCCAGTTCTTGAGGCCCAAACAGCCCTGAAGTAAGCCTGTGTGAATGGTTGTGACAGAGGAAAGTCTTTAAGTCTGGAGCATGGACAGTCACTTCTTTTCTAGGCGTGGTTCCTGCTGCAAGTAGGTGCCTTTAAGTCACTTCTTCCCTTTGCCTGAAGTCTCTCCATTAGCAGACAGGAATAAAAATGCCACCATACTGTTCTACTAGCAGAATAGAGAGGACCAAATGCTCCATGAGCATAAAGCAGCTCACCAGAAGGGTTCTCACCAGTTAGGTTGGGGTGTCTTTCAAAATGCTCACATTGTTCTTTCATCCCCAGTAGAGTTGGCAGACAAGTTTCTTCGGACTGGTTCTGGTACTACCCCTGCCTTCTGGAGACCTGTGCTCACAGCTGTGACTGGAGTTTGAGGTGATTGGAGGTTGCTCTCTCCTGACTTGGGGGTGGGGGGGGGGCAGGAGAGCATAAGGAGAGTGTGCAGTGCATCTCTCTCCCAATTCAGCAGGTTCCTGCTGATCTCCAGATGGGACTAAGTTCATCCATGTGGTGTCTGGCATAGGATAAGGTCCCAGAGAATGCTAGTGGCTGTTGTTAACATGTACACATTGTGAAGCTGAAGCCAGTTTGGGGCTCATAGGATCTTCTATTTTTTGCATGCAAAGCCCCTCTTCCTTACTCTTTCCTTCCTGTTGTACGTATATGTGCATACACCTAAAACACATCTTTTGAGGCTTTACCTCAAATCTTTACCTGTTATTTTCTATAGGGTTATAAACTACCATCTTAACTGGTACCATGCTCTGGCAAGCTTTGTATCTCCTGCCACAACAGATAGAGGCAAGCCCTCCTGCCCTTCTCTGAGATGGCATTGGCTACCGCCTTGTGTTGTCACTGTGCATGTCAGGCAAGAGCCTGAACTCTGCTCGAGGGCAGGGACTCAACCTATGCTCAGAAACAAGCATGCTTATGTTTCAAAAGCTTCACTTTACCTGGCATTCTCTCCCCAGCTCACATATTCAACAGTGGCCTCTGCAAAGATGGCTTTCCTGGCTAGTAAGTCATTGCCTTCACTCAACAGTCCATTACATTATGTTTTATAGTTGCTGGCATTTGAGTTATGTTGTAGAATATTATTGTAAGATGTGTTACATTTGTTTATGCTGTGGAACATTTGTTTAATGATGCAAAGATGTGTTGCATTCTTTTATGTTATGTTTGTTTAACTCTGTGAAGCTGTGCTACTTTGCCTGTCTAAAACACCTGATTGGTCTAATAAAGAGCTGACCAGCCAATAACAAGGCAGGGAAAAGGATAGGCAGGGAAAAGGATAGGCAGGGAAAAGGATAGGCAGGGCTGGCAGGCAGAGAGAATAAATAGGAGAAATCTGGGATGCACCAAGGAATGAGAAAAGGGACCAGCTACCCAGCTACACAGCCAGACACAGAATAAGAAGGAAAGAAAGGTATAAAGAAATAAAGGTAAAAGCCCAGAGGCAAAAGATAAATGGGATAATTTAAGAAAAGTTGGTTAGAAACAAGCCAAGGCCGGGCATTCCTAAGTACTAATAAGACTCCGTGTATATTTATTTGGGAGCTGGGTGGTGGGCACCCCCAAAGGGCAAAGAGCCAAAGAGTAAACAACAATAGAGTTGAGATAGTTTTACTAATTTACTTACTTGTCTTCGTGATGGGAATACCAGCTACTGAGAGCAGAGGTCCCGTTTGTCCTGTCCACTGCTACATTCTCACCTTAAGTGCTCAGTATAGAAACAGGGGCTTGGTGAACGAATGTAACCGCCCAAACAAAGCTTTATCAAGTGCCTAGGGGAGTGGGCATCTGGACCTCTTCTCCCAGACTGGACAAAAGGTCACTCTTGTATAGAATAGCTCTACCTTCTAAATGAGTTGGAAGAGACCAAGTATGAATATTCTGAGAACAAGGTAAAGCAAGACTAGGTTCTAGAATCAGAGACAAGAAACAGGTGGCAGATATACAGCCTGAGAGCTGGGGTCACACCCTCCCTCGGCTTCCCGTGTGCAGCACTGAACCCAGCAGCAGGTGCTCTGTGAGCAGCTGCTGAGCTGCTGCAGCTGGGGATAGAATTCACCGGTGGAGTGTTTGCCTAGCATGTGTGAAGGTTTAACTCCTAGCACTAAAACAACTGTCTTGCTACCTAAGAGAGAGAGAGAGAGAGAAGGCAGGGATAGTGGTGCATGCCTGCAATCCCAGTGCTTAGGAGGTGGAGGCAGGCAGGAGACCAGGGCTAGCTTTGGCCATACAATGAAGCCAGCTTGGGCTATATGAGATCCTGTTTTAAACATCTGAGAGGGATGGGGGCTGGAGAGATGGTTCAGTTCTTAAGGGCACTGGTCTCTCTTCTAAAGGACCTGGGTTTGATTCTAAGCACCCACATGGTGGCTCACACCACCTGGAACTCCAGTTCCAGGGGATCCAACACCCTCTTCTGGCCTTCATAGGCACGAGACACGCATGAGGTGTGCAAACATACACACTAACAAAATACCCATACATATAATTGTTTTGTTTTTTGAGACAGGGTTTTTCTTTGTGTAACTGCCCTGGCTGTCCTGGAACTCACTCTGTAGACCAGGCTGGCCCTGAACTCAGAGATCCACCTGCCTCTGCCTCCTGAGTGCTGGAATTAAAGGCGTGTGCCACCACTGCCCAGCATAATTTAAAAAAAAAATAAATAAAAACAGACCCTCTGGGGAAGGTGGGGCAGGCGGGAGAGATGGAGAATGAGTGTGAGGGTGCAAGAGAGCTAGAGGTGATAGATAGGAGTTCAAGCGTATCACGAGTTACTTTTGTGTTGGTGACCACACACCTGACAAACAGCTTAAGGAAGGATTTCCTTGGGTTTGTGCTTTCAGCAGGTCTAGTCAGTCATCAGGGCTGGGAAGGCCTGGCAGAGTTCACAGCAGCGGGAGGGTGGGAGCTGAGGACTGCTTACCTTGAGGTCATGGACTAGGAAACAGAGTAATCTTGAACTAGAAGCTGGCATAACACTTAAGGCCTTGCTTCCTGACCTACCTTAGCCAGCTGGGTCCCACAACCTCCCCAAGTAGGGCCACCAGCCATGGACCAAGTGTTCAAACACAGGAGCCTGTGGAGTTCCACAACATGACAGGATCAAGTAGAGACATGCATCAGTCAATAAGAGTTTATGACTAAGATCTGTATCATTTATTTGTTCAACAGTTGAGTTTCTTTTGTGGTTCAGGTCATGTCCTTGGCACTGAGAAGAAAGATAAATCCTGGCCCTCAAGGAGCTCACAGTCTAGTGGGGTAAACACACACAAAAAAATAAATATAATGCGATGTATACAAAGGGACGAGGAAGATAAAGGGCAGAGGAATCTAAATACTATGTGAATGTCTGCAGGTGAGAAAAGACCCATCTAGTGGACATTTTCGTACGGATAAGGCAATGGTTCACAAAGGCTCACTAATTACCCACATCAGAATCACCTAGAACACATACTAAAATGTAAGTTGTCAGTGCTTTCTGCATACTTTGACTCAGCACCTAGGAACTACATCTTAAAGTGCTTGTGATTTCCACTGTACCTCAAATTGAGAACCCGTGAGATAGATTTTGTTGTTTCCGTTGAAATGAAGAGTGATCCGTGCATCTGAAATGCTGACTTAACTTTCTTCCTGTCTGGTGCTGGGACCTGATGCATGCTAGGAACACAGATCGACTACTAGCCCCTGGGTTGGGGCTTCAATGAAGAAGTAAAGAAGAGAAGGGACCCTGCGTGTACTAAATTCTATTGTAGTCTATATGTAAGCTAACTGAAATCTCAAAATAATCCTATGAGGTAGATATCATCCCCATGTTCAGAAGAAAGGTAAGAATCAGAGTTTAAGTAATTTATCATTAACAAACTAAGGAAAGTAATGCTGATATCTGGACCCAATTCAATGAGCTCCAAAGCCTACCTTAGAAACAACGTGTTGGAATTGGGGAACACATTTACAGACTAACTGCTATGGTTTTCATTTATTATTTGCTAGATCTCTTTGGTAAAATAAATACTGATGACTGTCAGATGCTACTTCAGTCACATCTGATATAACCACCCATGGATACATCATCCTTCTTTGGCAAGACAGGATCGAGGGCAAAGCTGGGAGGACTATGAAATGAACGGCTAGTTCTTTATTCCCAGCATTGTTTCATCCTCCAGTAGAGGTGTCATGAAAGTGTTCTATGACTAAGAACTGGGTCTGTCTGGAGAGAAAACAAACATAGCTGGACACCCACAAAAGCAGCCCCACCCAATGCTGAGTCTCGAGACATGTATCACCCAGAAGCGTGGAAGGCATTTAAGGAAAACTGCAGGGTTGGCAGCACTCACGTTCTCAAAATGTGGACTACTGGGACCACAGCAGGTCTAGAAGCTGCATCAGAGAACAACTCAACCTTTAGAGAAACTGAAAGCACGGAACGGCTTCTCCAGGTTAAATAAACACCATCTGTTTCTCTATCCAGAAAATAATGGGATGGCCAACCCTACTGACTTAGTCACTGTTCTATTGTTGTGAAGAGACACCATGACCAAGGCAACTTTTATAAAAGACAGCATTTAATTGGAAGTTTGCTTACAGTTTCAGAGGCTCAGTCCATTATCATCATGGCAGAGAGCATGGCAGCAGGCAGGGATGATACTGGAGAAGTAGCTAAGAGTTACATCCTGACCCGCATATGGGGGGGGGGGGGGAGATTTTCTAGGCTTGGCATGGCTTTTAAAACCTCAAAGTTCACCGCTAGTGACACACTTCCTCCAGCAGGGCCACACCTCCTAATCTTTCTAATCCTTTCAAATGGTTCTGTTCTCTGGTGACTAGGCATTCAAATATATGAACCTATGGGGGCCATTCTTATCCAAACCACCACACCTACTTAAAAAGCTTTGAGGCCCACCCTAAAAAAAAAAGTCTGTAATGAAGAACATGTACACATAAACTGAAAATACTACTTAAATTTCTATTCACCATATTTGGTGGCATCTAACATCAGACTGGGGTGCCAGATTAAGGTGGAGCATATTAGATCAAATGAGAGGTGTGGTACAGGGACCAGCACTAATACTGGGGGACACCTGGGGCTTTGAGTTCATAAGGCTGGTATGGACCCACCATTCTTTTTCACCAATGAACATGGAGCTACAGAATGATATGTCTGCTTCTGGTGGAGAATAAGTTGCTTACTTGTGGCATTTCAAGAAATCACTGAGCCCCAAGATGAGTTCTGATAAAATTAACCCACAGCACTGATGCTGCCAACAGTGCACAGCTTAGTTTCCACGATTTTGTGTAACAAAGACTGAAAACCAGACTTTATTGCTACATTCCCCACACTCAATCTGGGAACAACTGCCTCGACCCACATTTTCATATACTTTTTTTTTTAATCATGCAAATCTGGAATGATCTCCTTACAAAAAGGTTCTATTTACACTGAACTGATTCATCAGCTTCTCACAGGCAGAGTTCAGGGAGTAGGGCCATAAGCAACTGTTTAACAGTAGTGTAGGCATTGTATCTGTGTGTTTAACTATGTCTGCAATTCACTGAGTTACACTGAAGGCAACTGGAGAGGCATCTGGAAGTCTTTATTTTGAGGAGAAGAGCTGGTTGTATTGAGTCTGGCCAGGATTTTTGGGTGATGTTTTTAGCCAGCTCATTGGTGCATGGAAAGAATACATAGAGCCAACATTTCTAAGATCCTCAAGCTTATTGCTACAGGTTTATGAAGACATACAACTGGGAGCTCTGAAGTCAAAGTGGCCAGAGTGCAACTTCACTGCTACACTGAATAAAACCCAGCCAGTAGTCTTGCAGATCCCTGAATATTTCTTGTTTAAATGCCCAGAAACACATAAAAGGAACCCTTAGGCTGAGAGGTAATTATCAGAATATTTGTATATCTTTGTTCCTGAATATCAAGTATTAGGGCTCGTGCCCACAATCACTTCTTGGAATAAGCATATACGACAACTCTTTACAGACTGCTTGTTGAAGATGTTGAGCTCTGGAGGTCAAGGGTGTGGATGGGCTTCAGGCTATCCAGGACTGAGCGGACTCTGTGAAGGGCCAATCCAGATATCTCTAAGTCTTATCCTGGTTCTGGGCACATTTCAGTTCCGCTCCAAGTCCACTTTGCTCCAATTCAGCGATGACAGACATATATTTGAACTCATTTGGTCTGAAGTTAAAGGTCTCTACTAGCCCAAATATCTCCTTCCGATCAGTGGCGTAGAAGAGTTGAACCTGATTGGCGATGCACTGCGCCTCAGCAACATTCTGCAAGGCAATGAGAGTAGTGAGGCACCTTCCTGCAGGACCACAGCTCTGTGCTGGAGTTGGTGGTGGAGGCACTGGTCCTGGAAAGCTGCTCTGACTCCCTGACTTCTCGTCTTGGTTAGATGTTTCTTCTTCATGTAACCAAGGCTTCTTGTTTACCATTGTCATCACTTTCTCTTATATTTGTCATTTTTGGTCTGTATTCTCTAATATAAATTCCTCAAAGATACAGACAGCATGACTTATTTGTATGTTCCTATACATAGTGACATAATGTTTGCTAAGTAAGTTAGTTCATATGTTCACAATTTCTCTTTTTATTTAGTTCTTAAATAACCATTACATCCATCTGAGGAAGAGGGGCAAGACTTACCCAGCTCTAAGAATCAGTTTGCGCCGGGCGGTGGTGGCGCACGCCTTTAATCCCAGCACTCGGGAGGCAGAGTCAGGCGGATCTCTGTGAGTTCGAGGCCAGCCTGGTCTCCAAAGTGAGTTCCAGGAAAAGCGCAAAGCTACACAGAGAAACCCTGTCTTGAAAAACCAAAAAAAAAAAAAAAGAATCAGTTTGCAAGTACTATGTTTTGACTAATTAGACACTCTTTAATACAACCTGGTATTGATAGTACTCCAGTGTGGAAAACAGTACCAAAGCCAGCTGTGATGGTTATAAAATGTCCACATTTTCATGGTCCTCCCTCCTTTGGTAGAGTCCAACCTCCATGCCCAGTGTGAAGCTGTACTTAATGAGTTACTTCTAACAACTGGGACATAAAAGAACATGTCTTGAATCACTTGTTCTGGGGAAAGCTGTCATATCAAGAAGACATTCAAGTAGTCCTATAGAAAAGCCAATGTGTTCAGGAAAAAAGTAGATCCTTAAGCCCAGTCAATCTTCAGATGATTGCATTCCTAGCAACATCTTGGCAGCAACCTCATAAGGCTGAGCCAGGATCACTCAGCTAAGCTGCTCCCGAGTTCTTGTCCCATAGAAACTATGGGACAATTTTCTATGCAACCACTTATAACCAATTCCAAGGTACAGAGTGCATTGTCAGGAAATGGGGAGCATATTACATGATAGGTGGGCATATAGGGGAATGCATGGGCAACATCCTCAGAACCTCATGGAAGAATAACTGAGGGCTGGTGATGGCTTATTAGGTAAAGGTCCTTGCCTCAGACCTTGCTTAATTCTGGGAGCCCAAATAAAGATGGATGGAGGGAACTGACTCCACAGAGTTGTCTTCTGATCTTCACACACATGTGCTGTGGTTACAACCTCTCTCCATCATACATGTATACACACGTACAATAATAGTATATAAAATGAAAGGAAAAAACAATTAACTAAAATAACTATTGTTTTCTAAATATTCTAGCTGGCTAGAAATATTTATCTATTATTACTATGTTTATACAGACAAAAGCACTCCCCTCAAATATGGAAAAAAAAATCACTTAAAAAATGACTGCCTAAAGTATGCTTTGTGGACCTGGACTTAACTCAGTGGTAGGGAACTTGCTTTAACAAATGCAAGGTCTAAGTTAAATTCTTAGCACTGGAAGAAAAATAAGTATGCTATGTCTAGCTATAGAATGATGAAGATGAATTTATAAATACCATAGGCTGTGCTTCTTGTCTCTGTATGCTGTACTTCTTTCTATAAAGCATTCATTTAAGCCATTTATTTTTTAAATTGGGGCTGGAGAGGTGGCTCAGTAGTTTAGAGCATGTATTACTTTTGCAGAGGACTTGAGTTCAATTTTCAGCACCCATGTTGAGTGGCTCAAACCACCTATAACTCTAGCTCTAGGGATATCCAATGCTTCTGGCCTTTGAGCGCACTTACACTCACATGCACATACTCACACTCAGACCTACACATATACACATAATTAAAAATAATAAAGTAAATCTTTTAAAATTACATTTTTACTTATTAATTTATTATGTGTGTATGTTAGCAGGTATGCCATGGCTCACCCAATGAAGGTCAGAGAACAAGTTCCAAGAGTTAGTTCTTTTCTTCTACCATGTGGGTCCTGGGGGACTAAACTCAGGTCATTAGGCTTGGTGATGGGTGCCTTTATCTGCTGAGCCAAGTATACTGGGATCTCATAGTTAATGTGGTTTATACAAGGCAAATGAATATTGTCTGGTATGCTGTCAAATGTTAGTTACAAAGCTTAAAAAAAAGGCCCCCAAAACAAAAAACCCAACCCTCCAAAACCTTAATAATGCTAAAACTGCATCAGTTTAAGCCTACCAGCGTGAAGTGGTAAAACAGAATCAAGAAAAAGTTTCCTCTGACCTCTAAGATTCACTGAAACATAGCCAGACACCGTGTTTTGCTAGAGATCAAAAAAGTACAGTACAGTCTGTATGTCCTATTTCTTTCTATTTCTTTGCCATCAATAATGACATCCTCTCCAAATTTCAGTCTGAAACATCTGCACTTTATTTTTTACCTTCCTAGTTCACTCCAAACTCTAACAGTCTGTAGCTCAAGTCCCCAATTCTTAGTGTGTCTGCCTCCTCACTTCCCTCTTTATCTAGCTTTATTCTCTGTCAGTAAGTGTAAGCATCCCTTTGCATTCATCCTAAGCTTCTTGGCCTCTCAACTATATCATTACACCACATGACTGGACTAGCTAAATCTGACATTCTCTCCGTGCCGGTACCTACACAAATCCTCTTTTCCATTTTCCTAGACTATGGTTTGCAAACACCTTTCTTTTTTTTTTTTTTTTTTTTTTTTTTTCGTTTTTTTCGAGACAGGGTTTCTCTGTGTAGCTTTGCGCCTTTCCTGGGACTCGCTTGGTAGCCCAGGCTGGCCTCGAACTCACAGAGATCCACCTGGCTCTGCCTCCCGAGTGCTGGGATTAAAGGCGTGCGCCACCACCGCCCGGCTGCAAACACCTTTCTATAAAGAGTAAACATTCTAGGCTCTGGGGGCCATAGAGTCTCAAACTACTCAACTCTGTTACAGAACTAAAGTAGACTTAAGTAATATATAAGTAAAACTTCCTTTTTCTTTTTGGCTTTTTTGAAACAGGGTTTCTTTATGTAGTCCTTGACTTGATATTTAGATCTACCTCCCTCTGCCTCCCAAGTGCTGGGATTAAAGGTGTGCGCCACCATGGCTGGCATACTGTCTCTTTTTGACTCAAATGTCTAACTCTACGCTTTCATGTTTACTCTAAGCTCAACGCCTTTCTTCTCATAAAATAAAATAAAATAAAATAAAATAAAATAAAATAAAATAAAATAAAAATCTGGCAAGAACTTCCACAAGCTGCAAGTAACTATTCATTTAACGACACTATACCTATGTCCTCATATCTTGACTTCTCTCAGTTAATACATTCCTGGCAAAGATCAAACCCTCATTTCCAGATTTGTCTACCCAGAATGTTACTCTTTTCCTTCTCCTGTGTGGCTAATATTTTCCCTACCACACTTTTCCATCTATTTATTCACTATTTAAAGTAAAAGACATCATTGTTCCCACTTCTTTCCTCCATCTCTCACTCTATTCTTTCTTTCCTAACCTCTCTTCCCATTGTTCTTAAATTTAATTATGGTTATTTATAATCATACCATTCCTCTGAAACTGTTCTTAGAAGTCCCCAAATATTTTCATGTCTATAAAGTCTAGTAAATTTTCAGTCTATTTCATTTGCCCTACAAGTAGGTTAAGACCAAATAAACACTCCCTGTTGCTTAGAACATCTCACCTTTGCTTCCAGGCCTTCTACTGTTTTAACCTCCCTGTACCGCAACTGGTTTTCTGAATTTTCTTTGTGATGTTTCTTCATCTCTCCAGGACTTGGTTCTTCTATCTTTTCTCTTCTGCATCCTCATTTATTTTCTTGGTATTTCATTCAACCCACGGTTTTAAATACAATCCACTACTACAGCTGGGCCACTTTTCTGAACACCAGACTCATGTATCTGTCTATATTACACGGATAACTAATAGGTACCTCAGATTTAACAGTCTAAAAGTGTGGTCTTCTCAAAACTATTTTTCTGCAGCTTTATCTCAATTAATGGTAAATATATATTTATAAATAGGATTCTGGATCCAGTTGAGTGTGATATGGAAACAGTTTAGGAGGAAGGAAAAACAGGAGAAATAAGACTGGGTAGTTTAGGAATAACAGTCAGGGAAGCAGAGTCCCCACTGCGCTCTAGGCCTGGAGTCTACTGTCACCTTGAGATAGTAGCTTGCTGAAATCACTTATTTCTCTCTACGTATCTGGTAAAGACAAAGAGGAAATATAAATGGGTGTGGTAATGGAGGGAGAGGCTTTGAACTGCCCGGTCTTCTGAGGGTATCCTAAACAATCTCTGTCAGACAAACGAAATGGAAACAAGCAAGCATTAGATAGACATAAAACTGTCTCTGTTAGCTGAATGCACAGGGAAACACAGTGAGCATCATTAGTTATGGGCATGTGGTTGATGTTCTAGCCTAGTAACACAACTGGGAATGGAAAAATATAAAAGGAAATCCAATGGTGAATGTTACACACCCATGAACAGTGTAGAGGAAGATAAAGACACAACTATTACTCTAGATTTTGAGCTCATCCTACACTTCAGAAGTCACCTATGTGTCCACAATCTTACTTGAAATCTCCAGGGCCACATGTGTCTTGGTTTTGGTATTACTGGATTTTAAAAAGGTATAGGTGAAGATAATATGTTACTGTGTTTTATGACCCATAATCAAACACATTCATGCTTCCTTAATAAAATGCATAATATTCTGTATTAAATGAGAATAATGACTATAAATGACCTCATATCAGTTTAAATGAAAATTTAACTCCAAAAGAGTTTAAGGCAGGTAAAATTTTGTGATCAAATGAGAATGCAAAACTATTTTCAGCAACAGGCATGGTAGTGCACAGGTGGATCTTTGTGAGTTTGAGGCCAGCCTGGTCTACTTACTGAGTTCCAGGCCAGCTAGGGCTACATATGAGTCCCTGTCTCAAACAAAATAAAATAACCTATTTTGGGGGCCAGTGAGATGGCCCAGTGGGTTAAGGTGCTTGCTCGCTGCACAAGTGTGATGACCTGAGTTTGACCCCTGGAACCTAGATGGTAGAAGGAGAATGGGCTTCCAGAAATTGTCCTTTGACTTTCATACATGCATCTTGGCATGTGCACCATACCTACAATGTGTGCGCGCGCATACACACACACACACACACACACACACACACACACACACACACACTTAAAAAGTAAAATGAAACAAGCCAGCACTGACAAATGAAACCATCTATTTATCTGTGAATAACTGTACTTCAACTTAGATGCATGTAAGCAAGACAAAATTTTTTTTAACCATAAGAAACAAAATACACAAAGTTATCTTTCCCTAATCTAGACCCGAGGCATTGGCAAGAGTTAACACCTGCAGGAATACTAGGTAAACCCAAAGAGGCAAATGTAGATTCTTACCATAAATGTGGAATCCATTTCTGCTGTCATCAGCACTATGCCCTTTTCTTCCTTAAGTTCAGGATAGTGATATAAAATCAGCTGGCTGGCTGCTGCATCCCCTCGGGTCTGCACAGAGGAACACTTATCAAAGCTCAATAAGGTACCACCACAGCAAACTGCAGTTTCAAAGCAACAGAGTCTGGAGGAAAATCTAACTCTTAATAGCCCTTTGGGTGGCTAGTGAGTTAGAGGACTGGTATGGAGGGGCAAGGTCAGGCCTGCAAAGGCATGGTGGACTGACAGTTTTCATGGTGTTATTTGTGTCTTCAATTGGAAAAGATCTGGCTTTTTTCCCAGAGAATGTTTACGGAGGCAGTGAATCCTTCACTGTGGTCATACACTTAAAAACAAAACGGTACAGGCAGCTACCAAGTCAAGTTCTAAAGAAAGCGACGCGCCTGTGTAATTGCCACTTCTATGGACTAGTGCAGTCCCCTGCTCCCTGCGGCGGCGGCTCTGAAGACGGAGCTCTCTTAAGCTCTAGCAAGCACTGCAGAGTCTGCACGAGCCAGATTTCTACTGTGTAGCTTTAAACTATTATCTGTTGAGGCAGGAAGGAGAGAAAAGGGAATTGTGTAACTTCACGAAGAATGATCAGTGAGGTCACCAGACTTCCAGTCTAGTCTAGGAAGAGAAGCTGAATTTAAATGCCTTTCCGTGGTATGAAAGAAAATAGCTACATTCAAAACAGATCCCCGGGCTTCATCTGTAAAGCTTCAGCAAGTACCCTTTAATTATAGTATGTAACTACTGCTAAGGCACTCCTAACAGTTCATCCTCTTAGCTCCCTCATATGCACTTCTGATATACCCATCATTCTGGCCACAATATATTAGGGTACTACACAACATACTACTATACAATACACTGTAGTATACGACACAATACATTCGGGTACTACACAACATACTACTATACAATATACTGTAGTATACTACACAATATATTAATATAGCAAGTATTTTGGTCATTATGTTTCTGAAGGATTTTCTGAGAGTTTAAGTTATGAAATACATACATGATAATATCACAAACAGACATACACTTCTCAATCCATGTTAAGAAAGAAAGCATTAGAGACAAGGTAGTTTAAATGAAAAATGTCTCCCAAAGGCTCAGGTATTTGAACACTTGCTCCCCAGTTGGTGGCGCTATTTTGGGAAAGATATGGAACCTTTAGGAGGTGGAGCCTTGCTGGAGGAAGTACATCTCGGGGGCAGAGGGAGGCTGTGAGATTTATAGCTTCACCCATTCCCAGTTCGCTCTGTGCTTTATGTTTGTGGTTGAAGAGTGATCTCTCAGCTTCTGGCTCTGGCCACTTGCTATCAGGCCTCCCTGGCCATTATGGAAGTCTCCCTCTGGAATTGGAAGCCCAAATAAACTCTCTCTTCCATAAGCTGCCTCTGGAATGGTGTTTTATCACAGCAACAGAAAGCAAACAAGGAGAGAGATACAATTTGAGGATCCCTCTGTATCCCTTTCCAATGCCATTTTAGAGTTAATATCTACTCTGTATTTAGCTCTTTCTCTTATACTTAGGTATGAGCTCTATCATATACTTCTCTAAGAACTCCTTCCTTCCTTCTTTCCTTTTCTCATAGATCTATAGGACTCAGCAGAATTCTTAAGACAACGGTAAATATTTAAGTTTATAGACTTTGGACACAGACAACCTGGACTCAACATAGTTTATTATTTAGTAATACAAACTTCCCTAAGCTCACTCTCTTCTCTATAAATAGAAATAATAACAGTAACCACTTCATTTGAGAATACTAAATGACAGGTATAAAATACCCATTGTATAATATCTATCAAATGTTAATACAGCATATACTCAACAAATTATCAAACAGCAATGTAAAAACTTGCTCCACATTCTATTTTGGGCCATCTGCCTCAATGTTAAAGTCAAAATAATACATGATTTTGATTTTCTTTTTTTAACCAGATGTGAGCTCCAAATATAGAATGCCAATCCTAGTTATTGTGAACTAAAAATACTAACTTCTTTTTTAAAGAGCTTCAAATATATTTTGAGCTATATTTTTTACTTTAATAAATAATTTGGGAATAAAACAAAGAAAGAAAAGAAAGCAAATAAACTAAAATTTATAAATGAAAACTATTCATCTAACAGTGTGGAAGAGGCTATCTTGGTTAATAAACACAGGTAAGACATGGAGCCTTCAATGGGCTTACAGCTTGGGTTAAGAAGAAACATTTTGACTTATCCATGTCTATTAAGTAGGCATATGCAATCTATGCCACAGAAATCTAGGGAGACAACAAAAGAAAGACAGTGGAGCTAGAGAAAAGTATTCCGATTTCAAATTTCTGCTATTAAGTGAGGTCTAGAAAAGTAGCCTAAACTGTCAACATATGACAGTTCATCAGTGCCCCAGCAAGTACTGCTGGAGTGAGCAGATACTCTGTACCCCAGCCTCCAGGAAGGCTTCTAGGCTCACCAAAGGACAGGCTTTTTTTTTTCTTTCTACCCTGTGTTTTGCAGGGCAGATGTTACCTACCTGAATATTTATAAGTGCAGTGAAGTGGAGTTCAGTACCTGTCCATTGTCCTACAAAGAACTCATAACCATCTCTTCTTGGTAGTGCACAGAGAAACTGTGGGAAACAAAAACAAGCAGATAGATGAATAAATGAAGTCATTTTTCAATGTCTAATCACTTGTACCACCCTATTTCTTCAATGTTTGGCTTTTTAATTTTCCCTCCCTCCCTCCCTCCCTCCCTCCCTCCCTCCCTCCCTCCCTCCCTCCTTCCTTTCCTTCTTTTCTCTGCCTCCTCCCTTTTCGTTTTTTTTTTTTTTTTTTGGTTTTTCGAGACAGGGTTTCTCTGTGTAGCTTTGCGCCTTTCCTGGAACTCACTTGGTAGCCCAAGCTGGCCTCGAACTCACAGAGATCCGCCTGGCTCTGCCTCCCGAGTGCTGGGATTAAAGGCGCGCGCCACCACCGCCCGGCTCCTCCCTTTTTTGTAAAAGACAATTTTTCATGGATCCCAGGCTGGCCTCAAACTCATATACAGCCAAGCATGACCTGACTGATTCTCCTGCCTCTATCTCTCAAGTACTTGGATTAAGTATATGCCACCACACCCAGTCAATGGGATGCTGGTGACTGAATCTGGGGTTTTGTGCATGCTGGAAGAAGTAACCTATCAACTGACTTATATCCCTATTCCACAATGCTTGACTTTAAAAACTTTTTTTAAATTATGAAATTAATTATGTGATAGCATAACAAACACAGCATATTTCTCAACCCATCTAAGAAGGAAAGCATCAGAGATGAAATATGAGAAGAGCTGACATTTAGCAATATTGCCACCCAACACACAAACATGATATATGTTTCCAATTTACTTAGGTATTCCTTATTTTCTGCAAGCAATGTTTAAGAAAAACCCTAGCAACCATTGCTGACAAGTTGGCTGTCTCATCTGTCAAGGTGCACAGTGGAGCACGGGTCAGTTGCAGAAAGAAGGCACTCCAAGATGAAATTTTAAGGCCTATGTGGCAGCAGCAAGGTTCAGCCTCTTCTGATGGACTGAACCCTGAACAGGAGTACAAAGGCATGTTTAGTGAAAGTTACACAAAGGTGTACCTCATACTAAGGTCCTTAATCTAATTTACATGTCTTACTAAAGGAGAGCATCATATGCCCTCATGACTAGTCCTTTATTATATATCATTTGCAATACACAATAATACAAGAGCCTCAGGTGTGCCTGGGGCATCTTGTAACCAAGTCATGGGATGGCTGCAATGCCCCTTCAGTAAAACAGTTCTACAAATCATGGGAAACAATCACTGTTTTCCACAAGGATCTTCAAGTTCAAAGTACTTCTCAAAAATGGTTGTTCATTCTAATATCTACCCAGCTACAGTGATTCTGCTAAACTCCTACAATACACATCAGCTATCCATTTCCTTTCCCTGGAGCCTTTTGGGAGTTCACCACTTCAGTAACAAAATAATAATCTATGTTTGGCACATATTATCAGAATAGTATGAATAAAACAGTAAAGAAAATTCTAATACAGGAACCTAAATGAGGCTGCAAAGATTAAGGTCTTAGGTACCTTCTAGTATCATTCATTCATTCTTTTAGGCAGGGTCTTTCTTTTTTTTTTGGAGACAGGGTTTATCTGTGTAGCTTTGGAGCCTGTCCTGGAACTAGCTCTATAGACCAGGCTGGCCTCAAACTCACAGAGATCTGCCTGCCTCTGCCTCCCAAGTGCTGGGATTAAAGGCATGTGCCACGACCGCCCGGCTAGGAAGGGTCTCTCTGGCCTGGAACTTGCTAGGTAGACTAGGATGAACAGAATTAAAGGCGTGCATCACTGCACTAGGCTCTTAGGTGCCTTTTCATATGTACATTCACTGATAGAGTCAGACCCATATCAGAAAGGCCTAACGTATTAGAGAGCTAAAACGCCATTTATAAGGAAGAAAATATCATTTATCAGCACAATTAACATGTGAGCACCTTTGTTAATAGAGCATTATATTATGAGAAGGACTGGTTTGAAATCAACTATTTGGTAGCATTTATAAGCAAATCTTATAATTTCCACATAAATGATTACCACAGACTTACAGTTGGGCAGGACTGAGCCCGGTTCCAGATCAAATCAAACTTCTCTTTCTGCAAATTAGAAAAGATTAAAATTAGCTCACAAATAGGAAAACATGAAAAGTCACAATCAACTGAATTTTCCAAAACTGAATTCTAGAACTATATTATGGCTGAAACAGGCTTTTAAGTTTCATCATTTACAAATCACTCTTATTGAGAAAGAGACAGGAAAAACCAGATGCATGCTTTGCTGTTCATTGCTACAAATTATATGTGAAGATGAAGTGTTCTGATGCTTCAAAGTCTCCAAGGAGCCAGGTGAATCCAAGGGAGACTTGAAAAGGCCTGTTTAAACAGTGAATTGGTATGAATGGTCTAAAACACAATGATAAGTACAGACTGTTTAGACTGTGGAGTTCATGAAGGTAAGAGTATCTATGTGTAAGAGATTAAAAAACAAAGGACAGGGATTTCTTCATAACCAAAAGGCCTGGCTTTTCCTTCTGTATGCATTTTTCCTCCTTAATCTTATACTTACGTAAGTTGAGAACATAACTGTTCTTCAGTGTACTTTAAGGTAAGATATAATCTTTTTCTTTTTTTCACTTGCTCTATAGACAAGGCTGGTCTTGAACTCAGAGACCTGCCTGCTTCTGCTTCTGTCTCTCAAGCACTGGGATCAAAGGTGTGCACCACCATGCCTGGTTAGAGTAAGATATAATCTTAACTAGAGAAGACAGTTGTATCCTGTCTTAGTCATAGACCTTAATGGTAAGGCAATGGCCAGTGATCACTTCTAAGACAATTTCAAGAAAGTAAAACCAAGAAAATGCCACTTGCTAAGGGGAAAAGCTGGAGAAAGGCCAGGAAGGAGCTCCAGGTCAGCTCAGGCATCTACCATTTACAGACAAGAAGGGAAGAAAGCTATGCTGGAGGCAGTGTCTTGAATCCCAGCAGTTTGACTGGAAAATGAAAGGCAATAAAACGCATCTGGAAATCACTCAGAAACATGAACTTACACTAGCCTCCCTGGTTAGAGCCTTGGAAACATTTCTAAACCAGAAAGGGAAAGCAAAAGTGATAAATAAACCATATGGAGCTTCCAATCTCTGGTGCTTAGGGCATAATAAAAACCCTGAGAGTTGTAAAGTCTAAGTTCTCAAGATGTCATAAACACAGGAAAAGTAAAGGCAACTGCCTGAGAGGGTTAGAGCGCTGACCTTCATGCTGCAACACTTCCACCGCCCCTCCAAATTACTTACAGGAATAACTGCGTAGACTGTGTCTTTTGCTGAAAAATACTGCTGCCAAATCTGCAATAAATAAAGTATCTGTGACATATGGGTAATCTTTTCAAGTATGCCAAGAAATAGTGATAGCTTTCATTCTCAGAGTATTATTCTATCTGATAACAGGGAGGAAAACTCCACTGCAACGTTTTTACAACTAGTATATGATTATAAAAAATTTAGTAACACATGCTTTTCTGAATGATTAACTCTTAATTCTTTAAAACTGTCTTCCTAAGATTCATTTTTTAAATGCATATGTCTGTGTATATAGCACTCTTTAGATGCTCTTGGAGACCAGAAGGGGTGTTGGATCCCATGGAGCTGGAGTTCAAGGCAGTTGTGAGCCATCTGATGTGGGTGCTGGAAACTGAACACAGGTGCTCTGAAAGAGCAGAAAGTGCTTCTCACTTCTGGGTCACCTGTCCAGACCCCAAAGTGTACCCCATAATAATAAACTCTGGGGGCTGGAGAGATGGGTCAGTGGCTGACAGCATCTACTGCTCTTGAAGAGAACCTGAGTTTGGTTCTTAGCATCCATCAGGCAGCTCATGACTGCCTGAAAGTCCAGTGCCAGCAGACCAGTGGGATCCCATACCTCTGGTCTCTGCAGGCTCCTGCACTCATGTGCACACATTCCCATACAAACAGACAACTGCAGGGAATAAAAGGGGGTGGAGAGATGGCTCAGCAGTTAAGAGCACTGGCTGCTCTGGCGGAAAACCCAGGTTCAATTTCTACTGTCCATATGGCAGCTAACAGCCATCTGTAACTTCAGTTCCAGGGGATCTGACACTCTTTTGGCCTCCACAGGTACTGCATGCAGATGGTGCACAGACATACATGCAGGTAAAACACCTATATACATAAAAAAATAGTAATAACATTAAAAAAAACCAACTCTGTCAAAGAAATTGCCTCTATGACTTTTGAAATAATTGTTCTCAGGATCTATCTTGTTGGTGATGGGTTTTTCACAGGTTCTTTATCCCCTCCCTAAACCCATACCACCTCAGTCAACTGTAGGCCTTCTCAGAGAGCAATGATATGAGCCATTCAGAGTTCAGGGTCTGTAGTCAGTGGCCTGGGATGCAAATCCTAGCCCTGATAATTTACTAGCTATTCCACCTTGGGCAAATCACTGAAACTTCTTAAATAACATCAATAAAACAGCAGTGACACCAACCTCACGGGACTGTTATGAAGACTAACTGAGCTAATAGAACTCTGAGACTGGCAGAACAGACACTAAAAATCATGTTAGCTTTTATTGCTATATTCTAGGCAGCTCTTAAAATTCTGCTTCCACAAAGTCCTACATATCAGGAGCAGATAGGGCCTGCTGGTCTAGGGCCTACTAGAGTACAGAGCAGTCACCAGTGCTCTCTCTCTGCCTGGCATCAAAGAACACAGAGGGTACAGCTGACTTTCATGATGCAAATACCCCAAAGTAGTGAATAGGTTTACATAGTACAAAATTAGAAAACAGGGAAAAGGAAAAAGTCCTGTTTTATAAACCTAAAAGAATTATTTTGGTGTCTTCTTAATCTTTCTTAGGAATATGTTTTTACAATATATTACACAGATATAGTACATGCAATATTATCCCTTAGTGCATCATATGCATGTTCTGTGTTTGCACTTTTTACTCCTATTATTTTTATTATTCCCCATGGCTTTTCATGTAATTGGTCCTTACTGGAAAGCTTTCTTTTTCCATCTCTGACTTCCTCCCCCACCTTCTTCCTAACACTCAAGGCTAAGTTTATATGCTTTTCTCCTCCTGTAGTTTTCCTTCATCATTTCAGTCAGAAGTTTCCCTATGAAATGTCTTTGCACTTCTTATCTCTCTAAAGATTGTGCTGGCTAGTCTGACAGAAGAGAGAGTCATCTGAGGACAGGGAACCTTAGTTGACAAAATGCTTCCACCAGACTGGCCTGCGGACAAGCCTATGGTGCATTTCCTAATTAAAAGTTATTTTATTTTATGTATATGACCTGTTGTGCCTGCATACATGTATGTGTACTGTGTTTGTGCCTGGCTCCTAAGGAAGTCAGAAGAGTGTTGGATCCCCTAGAACTGGAACTATAGATGGCTGTGAGCCACCATGGGGATCAAACCTGGGTCCTCTGCAAGAGCACTAAGTGCTCTGAACTGCTGAGCCAACCCTCCAGCATTTTCTTAATTAATGATTGATGTGGAAGGATCCAGCCTATTGTGGATCGTGCCATCCCACAGCAGGTGGTCCTGAGACATATAAGAAAACAGGCTGAGCAAGCCTATGAGCAGCACTTTTCCATGGCCAATGCATTACCTCCTCCTGCCTCTAGGTTACTGCCATTTTGAGTTCCCTCCCTGACCTCCCTGAATGACGGACTACAGACTGTAAGCTGAAATAAACACTTTCCTCCCCAAGTTGCTTTTGGTCACAGTGTCTTACTGTAGTAATAGAAAATTAACACAAATATGCTACTCTATAATATGGTCATTAGCGTATGAATGCATCTCCTCTACTGGTTTGCAAGCCCTCTGTAGGCAGGATATCTGCCTGTGCTGTCACCAATGCCCTGCAATCCAACAGTGTCAGGTGACTGTGATGCTGGGTTATAGCTTGGTGGCAGAGCACTTGCTTACCATGCATGAAGTCTTGGTTCAGTTCCCAGTACTGCTGGGGGATGGGGGTGGGGGGAGTTGCAAAGAGAGGGAATTTGGCTTATACTAGGGCATCTTTAAGTTTTTCCACTTACGACTTTCTTTTTGCCTGAGAAATTTGAATATGGGAATATGTAATATAAAATAGGTGTACAAATCAAACATTTACTCATAATAAATCATAAAGAAATATTCTTTCACATACATATAATTATATACTATTGAGAGGGATATGCTTATTTTTAATCAAAGAACTCAATCTTGGCTGGAATTTGATATTGTAAGATGTAAAGAATCCTCAATATTTTTAGAAGTGATTGATTTTTTTAAAATTTATAATTGTTACGAACATTGCTTTGCATAAATATTTATTTTTTAACCCCATGTCTTTAAATTGGGAATAACAGAATCTACTTCCTAGGGTGGACATTAGAATTAAATGGAAAACTAGCAGTGAAACACCAAGCATAATGCCTGCCTGTCTTTATTATCCCTTTCATTACTACATTGTTAATTAGCGCATACACCTAATATAACTCAGGGAAGTATACAGAATGCTCAAATAGTTTCAGACAGGCTAGAGAGAAAAGAATTTTAGGTATAAAAAAATAACAAATACCAGGCGGTGGTGGTGCATGCCTTTAATTCCAGCCCTCGGGAGGCAGAGGCAGGCGGATCTCTGAGTTTGAAGCCAGTCTGGTCTACAGAGTGAGTTCTAGAACAGTCAGGGCTACACAGAGAAACCCTGCCTCAGGGGAAAAAAAAACCCAAAAAACAAACAACCTAGCAATGCAAACTAAGGTACATAGAATGATCAAACAGGCAGGAGAGATCACGAATGCTTTCAAGGGAGATGTTCAGGAAGCTTCTATAGAAGGTCCTTGGGTCTCAGTGCTAAGGAAGTGAATACAGGGCTAGGGGAGGGGTTGTCACTGGATATCTGCAAACAAGTTTCCAACACAGTATTTTTCCATTTATTTTAAAACATAGCTATAGCACTTACTCTGTGCCAGGATTGCCTCACAAATGTTAATTCATTTAATTCTCAAATAGCTCAAGAAGTAGGTGTACAGCTGTTATCACTTCACAGCGGGGAAACTGAGGCCCTGAAAAATTAACTTGTCTGGTCAAATGTGGCAGAGTGGCAGAGCGAGGACTTAAAAAAAAAAATGGCAGCTTGTTTTGAAAGTCTCTGTTCTAACCAGCACACCATCTTCTCTGCAAGGCAAGTAGAACCTTAAGCACACTCAGCTAAGGTAAAGTCAAGGAAAGCTCCTTGCAGCCATGCTCACCACTACCTGCCAACACCACACCAGGGAACCTGTTTGGAAAGGTAGGACAGGGATGCAGGTATGGAGTTCTGAGGATTTAAAATAGTACATGGGCAACGGGATAAAAAAGAGGGGAAACCGAAGTTGATCAGCCATATCAAAGCAAGACAAAGAAAGACACATTTCTCGTGTCACTGTTATTTATGTGACTCATCACTTTTGCCCCTTGTGACTATTTTTCATTTGGGATAGAAAAAGGTGTCAGAAAGATGTACGACCTTTTCTGGTCTCAGACATGGTTCACAGGGAGTATACCTACTCATTTTCATTCATTACCTGTTTTATTTCCTCTGCAGTTTTGTCTTTCACCATCTCAATGTTGAAGATTGAACTGAGAGTCTTGAAAGAAGAAATAGCAATTAACATTTACAATTAGCAACAACCCCAGCTGAATTCTGTCTAAAGCCTTGTAGAACAGAATGTCAGCCCAGTGAAGCAGACCTTAGTAGGTACAGAATAAGCATTCAACACTCACACGCTCAGAGAACGTGAGTCTCCGCTCCCACACAGACCTTCACAGTTCTATTCCTGGGGAGTATCTATTAGGTCATCAAGCACTCCCCAAATGTTTCAGTCTCACCAGTGAGTCCTGCAGCCCTTTGCAGCTGTTAAAAAAGGAGAAACCCTGGCTGCTGTTCTACCAGGGAGCTCCCTATCTGCACAATAAAGTAAAGACTACATATGGTGCTTTGATTTTGAAAGTTACTTTCTATAGAAAGGAGTGCATTCCATTTCCTTCAAATTTCTTGTAGCATCCTTGGACCCATACTGAAGCTGGGGGTCATGTCAAGGACATAAAAATCTAGAGAAATATTTCTCATCTCTACTGTTGGGAAAAAAAATCACCTTATACAAAAAAGATCACTGAGCACAATAAATACGTTCAAATTTGCAGCCTCTTATTATAGATGTCCCATATGACTTCAGACTTGGATTTCTATATTTAATTAGAAACCTACCTTGTCCTTAGTGAATCCTTTGCTCACAGGCTGTTTCCCTGAGGCATCTGTCTGAAATACATGATGAGACAGGCTATTAAACTATACTTTCCTCATAAAAAAAAAAAAAAAAGAAAAGAAAAAAGAAAACCAAGTCATGGAAGTTGTCAATATCACTAAGTAATTCTGTACCTGAGAATTCACTTCTATCCACTCTTTACAACACTGTACATGCTATTCTAAAAGTTATTGTTTATGGACAATTTTCCTTCTACTAAGATGCTGAGATGCAGAGATGAGAAAGAGTTTGTTAGCAATCACTGAATCCCCTTACAGGAAGTTCATTCTACACCTGCCACTATGAAGGAGTGTGAAAGAACGTAAAGGACTCCTTCCCAATTTGTTCTGTTTGGACTTTCTGTGCTTGGCGCTCTGACCTATTCCCCACCATCCACAGATCAGGTGAGAAATGGAGAGATGTATTTCTAGAACTGCTATTTCTGATAGTACTTCTAGTGGTGGGGTCAGCACACTAGAGTCCTGTTGAGTTCTCAGTTTCTCTATTAATTAGACTTCTTGTGATGGTTAACATTCCTGTTACGCTGACTGGATTGAAAAGTGCCTGGGGGATGTGTAAAGTGTACCTCTGGGTAAGTCTGTGATGGTACTTCCAGTGATGAGCAGGTCATGAGGGCTCTGACCTAATGAATGGATTAATCTGTTGCTGGATTCATACTATTATGATATTGGGAAGTGATGAAAGGTAGGATGTGGGGCTTATCTGGAGGAAGATGTCACTAGGGGCATGTCCTTAGGGGCTTTATCTTATCCTGGTCTCTTCTTATAGTCCCCTGTCTCTGCTTCCTCAACCCACACCCTATTTGACCTGTACTGACATGTCTGAAACCATGTCCCCAAATCGATCCTTCCTCATTAAGGTTATTTCCGTCACAGAAACACGGTAACAACTAATACATTTCCTCTCTGAAAGGGCCAGAAACAGCTGAAGGTGGCCCCAGACGAGCTAAAGTCTCCCCTGAATTCGTTCCATGCATTTCCCAGCTTAGAAGTTTTCAAATTAAATGTTGCAAAATCAGTTCAGTGGATTGTCATCACAATTTTTTGGAAAATGAAAAATAAGAATGCACTCCCCAGGCATGATGGCTCACACCTGCAATCTGAACACATGGCGGGCTGAGGTGGGAGGATGACTGAGAGCTCGAGAGTTATTAATAAGTTCCAGACGAGACTGGTTTACAGAATGAGAACCAGCCTAAAGACAGAAAAGGAATGTATTACATATCACTGGTCCATAAGAAATGTGTATGCTGTAACATATATGTGCATTCTAAGTAGCAATGTAAATATATTTCCTACTGTGGGTTATGGTCAAAGAGTTTGGAAAGCCTTGTCCTAGGTTATTATACACATAGCTACCCACATGCTTTCTCCAGCTTTGACTGCTCAAGGATCACTGTGACCAATGATATATTAAGTTCTTTTTAAGGCCAGGGACTGAGCTGATGATACCAGTTCATTCAGTCTTTAGCATGATTCTGTGAGGTAGGTATTATTACTATTTTGAATTCACAAATAGGCAAAACTGAGGCTCAGAGAACTTATATAATTTGTCCATAATTACCTAGCTGGCAGCTGAAAGCTCTGATTCAGTCCCTGACATGTGGATCCAGAGCCTGTCTTCTTAGCAGGTAAGTTACCTTATCTCTACTTCTTAAACTCAATTGCCTCTGCAGTCATGTGTACATACTTGCATGCATACACACCTATACATAACAACAAATTAAAAAAAAAAATGAATCTTGCTCGGTGTGGTGGTGCACAACTTTAATTCCAGCTCTCAGAAAGCAGAGACAAGAGAATCTATGTGAGTTCAAAGTCAGCCTTGTTTACATGGCAAGTTCCAGGCCAGCCAGTGATAGACAGTTGAGACCCTATCTTTAAACCCTGGACCTCCACTGTAAACATTTCCCTGCTCCCTATAGCCCAGTGCCATGTGTACACTGATTTGATCACTAGACTCAGGGACCATCTTTTCATTCTTCTACATTCCATCATGACTACAGGATCTTGCCCAGAAAGAACAGGATATACATTTATTGATGGAGAATGAGTAAAGATCAGATGTTCAGGTTACCACCATCTCATCCATCAATGAGATCACTTCAAGGGTAAGGGCTGGGAGGAATGCTAGTAAACTAATACACACAAAAAGGACCAGGTAGGCCTTACCTTCTGCTCCACACATTTGATAAAATCACTTTGTTTGGAGTGCCCCACTGGTTGCTTCCGAAACTCACTGCGCTTCTCCAGGCGGGACTCAAAGGCAGCTGGGTCAGACCTGACCAAAGGTAAATCAAAGGGTAAAGCACCTAGGCCTTTCTGCATTTTGAAAGAACAAGGCATCATAGGCCATGTCCACAAAGGAAGGACACAGGCATTATGAGGTTGTAGGGTTTGCTTTCAGTTGTTAAGAACTGGGTATAAGCCTGGAAGTCAAGAAAGTGGAAAGCAAAGCCAGCTGGTTAACTACAGTTAGGCCTCAAGGGATCAGTACATTTCTTATCTCTTGCAAGTTATTCCCAGGTGATGCAGGGCTTGGTTTCTCAGGTACTTAAAACATTATAGGTAGTAGGCTACTCGAGATAAAGAATACTTTGAAGTCATATTGCTGGGTCAGCTCTGTAGGCAGGAATCCTGTAGCACGCCTACTAGGTGTTATGCTTTTACCTGAATATATCTAATTCTTGGTGTCTCCCTCTATCCCCACCCTCAATCCTGGGCTCCAAGTGGGTGCTTTGGGAGAAGAGTTAGTACCCGAGTATCTCCCTGACTTATCCTCCAAAGAACCTGCAGACAGAACATCAGAAATTCACCTTTTATCTTAAAACAGGAATGTTCTTCTGGCTTGAAAGCTAGGCTGGGGCTGCCATCATTATTAGGAATATGTCAGAATGTGTAGCTGACCATGAGATGTTTGATTTTGTATGCTGAGATGAAAACATTATCCCAGCTACTTGGCTGGGAGACACACAATACCATGAGTGAGGAGACAAAGACATCTTGTTTAACCTTTTTGTAGACGTTCATAGTCAAGACATTATAGGGTACTGCCCCCTACTCCATTTGGATGTGACATCAAATGTCACTGTTTTCATTACTATGTAGATGGAAGGACTGGGTAAGCCCGGCTAGCAGCCACAGATGTACCTGAGCTTGCCACGGTCAATGCATAGAGAGCACAGGGGCACCCTGGGCAGCAGAGCTCTTCCTAGGCTCCAGGGACACAGAAAATAGCTAAGACACTGTCCTTACTTGAAACTTACTATCTAGTTGGAGATATGTAAATATGTACATGAGCACAACTGATAATTATAGCAAAAACGTGCTCAAACTTCCCTAAATGATGAAGGGGGGTCTCATGACTGTACTTTTGACTGTGTTGTTGTCTCCCGTATTTGGAACACTTCCCCTCCCTCCAATTATTTTAGAGCTAGACCTAGACCATACTATTTGAAGTTTTGATACTAGATCAGGCTAGACATACTGGCAGGAACTAGGGTGTGAAAGCTTTATGTGGAACATTAAGCAGTTTGGACACTGTGCTGAATTCAATGGGACACTTTCTGAGATATCAACATGTATAAATATTGGTGGGAATGACCTAGAGGAAGGAAAGAAACCTTCCTCATTATGGGCTCTTGAGAAAGCATGAATGGAACCGCTAAGTATTCAGAGTGCAAGTAGACATCTCTTTGGAGAGACTTGTGGGTAAAAGGGATCAGAGAGAAATGGGTGGAGAGAACTGTAGGTCAAAAAACTATTTTAAAATGACAAATATTAGCCGGGCGGTGGTGGCGCACGCCTTTAATCCCAGCACTCGGGAGGCAGAGCCAGGCGGATCTCTGTGAGTTCGAGGCCAGCCTGGTCTACAGAGTGAGATCCTGGACAGGCACCAAAGCTACACAGAGAAACCCTGTCTCGAAAAAACAAAACAAAGACAAATATTTGAGAATATCTAATGTTTGAAGGAAAGAAAAGTACCCATTCATTTGTTCCACCATTGCTTCAAAAAGTGTGAAAGATCATTATGTTCATGGTAAGGTGGATGCGTGGAGGGTTCCAAGACTAGAAGTGGTGAACACTAGTTAGAAGATGATGTTGTCCTAGTGAAGATGAAGACGAAATTAAGCGAGTGGAATTAAAATGAGACAAAACGCAGAGAATTCACAGCCCTTAATGTCTGTTTCCTTTCTCAAAACCCCTTTCCATTTTTGACCTTCAACTCTTCCACCTGGAACAAGGCACCCACTATACCTACCTTAACAGCCATGACCCTACCATACTTATGCCCCTCAGTGCTGGAGATGGAACTCAAGGCCCTGCGCATAGTAAGCAAGTGCTCTTCCACTAAGGTACACCCCTCCATCTCTAGGTTTTACCTTCTGGAAGTTGAAACATTAGGAAGCCTGGTTTCCGTCTGACAAATCCTAACCAACCGTGTGACCTCCAGCAAGCCTCTACCTCTCCAGACCGCCTCCATTACCTTAATGAAAGGGTTCAAGGGGAGATCCAAATGTAACGCTGTTAGTCTTTGCAGCCCTTTTCTCACTCCATGCAGTCAGGGCCCTAAGCTGGGAGCCTGGGAACCTGATCTCTTGGTCAGGCATCTGCTGATTCAACATGTGACCTTGAGCAAATCAAGTGCCTTTTCTGAAGGCTTCATTTTCACATTTCTACATAGGGGACAACTCTTGGAGCGGTCTTCCTCATAAGGGCTTTAAAGAGTTCACCTGAGCGTTTTGAGAACTAAGCACAAGCTGTGGGAAGATCCAGAGGCTCTGCAGAGACCAGCGATGTGACCTTAGGCAAGTGACCTGGCCTCTCTGAACTTAGAAACAAACTATTGGTATAGTGGGGACAGTACAAGCCCACCAAGCAGGGTAGTGTAGTAGTAATGCCGGAAGCTCTGCCCGCGCCGCGAGTCCCAACCCCCAACCCCCAGCCGGTCGGGACCGCACCTGCGCAGCTGCTGGATCTTGTCCCGGTAGCGGTCGTAGAAGGGGTTAGCTTCCAGCTCGCTGACCCCGCTACCGTCTGCTCCCCCCGAGGGCAGGCCGGAGCCCCGGCGTACCGGGAACACGCGTAGCTGTGCTGGTGACACGAACCCCAACCCCAGGGCGCGGCTGCGCACTGCACACAGCCCCCGGTAGAGGCCGGCCACCTGCAGGACTGCGGGGCACGCTCCACCCGCAGCTGATACCACGGCCGCCATGGCCGCCCGCGCCTCCCCCTCCTCCTCCTCTGGAGCGTCAGCCTCGGCCCCCGGCCCGCGCGCCTGCTCCATCGCCTTCAAGGTCCGCGACGCCGATGCTCCGCCACCGAGGTTCCGCGCGCGCAAGGTTCCGGGTGCCCGAGTGGATAAGGGACGGTGAGGCTAAGGGTTGGTGGCTCTTGTCTCTGCCCACCCGCTCTGTGGGTGTAGTGGTGCGTTTCCTCCTGGGAGTCTGCCGGGATTCACGTCCTCCCTCCCGGGACCAGCAGCCTCTGCGCGCCAAGCTTCTTCTAGAAAGCTGACTTGGATCTTCGGGTTCTCACTGGGCTTGCCCCTTTTCTAAATTTACTTGGCACTAGCTGTAACAGTTCTTTTAGCAGCAAAGGATGTTTGAACATCACAGCTGAAGCTTCTCTTTTTTGGTTCTATTTGCAGAAGGTCCTATTGGCCTTCATAATACCTATGAAGTAGGTATTACCCTCATTTTACAGATGGGAGAGCTAAACTGGCTGCAAATTGTTGCGATACCAAGTTCCACCTAAGAGCTGAGCTCTTTTTAAAACGCGTTGCCTCTGAAGTCTGGGTTCCTTCTGGTTCCTGGCATGTTTTTTTTGTTTGTTTGTTTGTTTGTTTTTGTTTTGTTTTGCTTTTTTGTTTTTCGAGACAGGGTTTCTCTGTGTAGTTTTGGTGCCTGTCCTGGATCTCGCTCTGTAGACCAGGCTAGCCTCGAACTCACAGAGATCCGCCTGTGAGTGCTGGGATTAAAAGCGTGCGCCACCAACGCCTGGTTCCTGGCATGTAATTGAACTACTCTCAGAGATACTAGGAATTGTCCTTGACAAATCTTTATTCAGGCTCTTTTTTCATCCTTAGAATGTATCGGTCCCTCCAACCCCCAACCAAAATGCCACCATCTTCTTCACCTGCTGAACCAGATATGAGCTTAGGGACAATGACATCATCTCTGTCTCACCTGCTGCCAGCATGAGTGTATCCTATGTGAGGGCAGTCCCATGGAAGTCCTTATCTGGGCCTCAGTTGATAGGAACCTCTCCTGAGGCAGGAACAGAGCCTCCAAACTGTTCAATGCAGCCTGTCATTAGACATCAGACTCCCAGTGCTGGAACAACGCAGTGGGTGATTATGAAAGTCTCACTTTGCTCACCTGTACCTGGCTCAGAATTCCTGGGTCAGGTTTCTTGCACGTGTTGTTTTCTCTGCTCAAATACTACCTCCTCCTCATCTACAACTCAGTTCAAATCTCAGCACTTCAGAGATACCTCTCTTGATGAACCTTCTCACTATTAAAAAAAATTATGTGTGTTGAGGTTAGGGGAGGCAATTGTACGGCAGTGAGAAGACAGTCTGTGGAGTAGGTTCTCTCCTTTCTTCTTTCTGTGGGTTCCAGGGATCCAATGCAGTCACCAGGCTCACATGGCAAGTGCCTTTAACCTGCTGAGCCATATCCCCCTCACCCCCCTTTAGAGTCTATATTTACTCTACTTCCCCCTGTTATCTCACTCTACCTTTTACAGAAGTTATCATTATCTAACGCTTTAGGTCTGTGGTGGTTTGAGGGAGAAATGTCTCCCACAGACTCGGGTATTTGAACACTTACTAGGTTCCCTGTTGGGGGAGGCCGTGAACCTTTAGGAGGTGGAGCCTTGCTGGTGGACGTATATCACAGGGGGCAGGCTTCGAGAGTTTGTAGGCTTGCCTCACTTTCAGTTATTGCTTCCTGTTCCTGCATATGGAAGGGATGTGATCTCAGCTTCTTGACCCATCCACCTGCTACCATGCCTCCCCTGTCATTACAGACTCTCTTTCTGGAACTGTAAGACAAAAAGATCCTTGTTCTAAAAATTGCCTCAGTCATGGTTTTTTAAATTTTTTTTTTTGTCGTAGCAACAGAAAAGTAACTAATGCAAGCACCGTATTTTCATAAATCCATGGAGTTTACATTTTAGTAGTAAAAGATAAGTGACAGTGCTTGTATGTAAAAAGAACAAAGGAAGATGAGGGGCACAAATAGGGAGATTGCCCAAGCAAGAGATCTGAGTGAAACAAGGGACTGATTTATATGGAGACTTGCAGGAACTGACTAGCTAAGGGGAACAGCAAATGCAAACGTGATTATACTATTGTGAAACAGTAAGAGGTTATCCCAGTGGGTGAGGGTACAGAGGTAGAGATGACACTGAGTTGGGTGGTTAAATTGATCAGGGCTTTGGAGGCTGTGGTTAAGAACTGGCTTTTAATCTGAATGAGATGGGATGTTGCCATAGGCTTTGAGCAGAGGAGTACATGGCCTACTCTTCAAAGGATCGTCCTGACTGCTGGAATTTGCTCCAAAATGTGGAGCAAAAATGGAAACTTCCAAGGGTGAGTAATTTTCCTACTTTAAAACCCAAGATTAAGTATAACTTAATAGATAGGCAAGGAAGGATGTCAATCAGACTGTTGGGTATGTGAATCTCAAGTTCTGAGCTATGTTCCAGGCTGGAGGTATGAAGCTCTGAATTATCAGTGTATTTGTGTTCTTTAATGTTATAGATGTGGATAAGTCCACCCAGGAGGGAACGGAGATAGAATGCTAAAGACTAAGCCCTGTTAGCTCTATGCTAACTCTTAGAGACCAGGAGAAAGAGGAAAACACCAACAAAGGAGGAGCAAAAACGGTGGGCAATAAGGCGGAGCCAAGGGAAAAGGCATTCTGGGAAGAACTCTGTAAATAGTGCCTGCTCTGGTTTGAATCTGAAATGTCCTCAACAAGCTCATGTTTTGGGGACACTTGGCCCCCAGCTGCTGGCACTATTTTGGGAGGCTGTGGAAACTGTGAAGAGGTTGGGCAGAAGAAGATCACAAGGGGCAGGACTTTGAAGGTTATGGCTCAGAGCTTGCCTCTGGCCCTGCACTCAGCTTCCTATTTGCTGCAGTGTGAGCAGTGGTCTTCTGTCACATGTTCCTCTGAGGCTGTGGTGTCCTGCCCACCCACATGGGACCAAGCAACTATGGCCTGAACCCTCTGAACCAGGAGCTAAATGAAACCTTTCCTCTTTACACTGTTTCTATCTAGTATTTAGGTCATAAAAACAAATGTGTGTCTCAAGGCACAATGGGGGACTATAAAAGGAGCAAAACTAAAAGGTAAGAATTCAGGCTAGGACTGGTTGGTATATTGCTGTGGGATTTTTTTCTGTATGCTGTGAATATGTGTTGCTCTGATTGGTTGATAAATAAAACTGCATTGGCCTATGGGAGGGCAGGATGGAGCCAGGAGGGAAAATCCAAGAGAGACAGGGAGAAAGGAGAGTGAAGCAAGATATAAAGTACCGGTAAGCCACAAGCCACGTGGTCAAGTATAGATTTATAGAAATGGGTTAATTTAAGATATAAGAGCTATAGCTGGGCGGTGGTGGCGCACACCTTTAATCCCAGCACTTGGGAGGCAGAGCCAGGCGGATCTCTGTGAGTTCGAGGCCAGCCTGGGCTACCAAGTGAGTTCCAGGAAAAGGTGCAAAGCTACACAGAGAAACCCTGTCTCGAAAAACCAAAAAAAAAAAAAAAAAAAAAAAGATATAAGAGCTGGCTAGTGAGAAGCCCGAGCCATTAGGCCATATAATTTGAAAATAATACAAACCTGTGTGTGTTTATTGGGGTCTGAGCGGCTGCAGGACCGGGCAGGACACAGGAAAACTTCCAGCTACAGTATATCCTCCTGTGAGTTGATTTAGGCTTAACTCACAAGGGTTTTCTAACTGAGCTACCCATAAATGGATCAAGCTGCCTTAAGTAATAAGCAAGGCTCTGGCTTCAATAGATACTGGGGGATTGGTTGCTGGGTAGGTGAGACCTGTCTCCACAGGGCTCAGGGAGTTGAACTAGACAACTCTAAGTCTCTTCTGGGAAGAAAACTGAAAGACTGTTTGCTACACAGCAAGGGGCTGAGCTGAGCCGGGAAAGGTGCTCAGTGGTGAGATGAGAGGAGCAACTCTCTCAGGGAGGAAGCAGCATGAGCAAAGTTCCCAAGGTGGTTAGTGTGTGTGTGTGTGTGTAGGGGGGATGTCTGTTGGGCTGGCCAGAGTGTGAAGGAGTGTGAAGGATGAGGAGGAGGGTTAGGCTGGAAAAGGATGCAGGACCAGATGGAGGGGAGCTTCCACCGGGCCCGAGAACACCTGCCAGCGCTTGCTGAAGGAAGGAAATGAAACAAATAAAAGAGATTGTAAGAGCCAGAGGAGGTGCTCACTACTTGGTTCCTTTGAGGCAGTTTTCTTCTGACAACTTGGGCCACGATTTGTAGAGGGCAGGCATGCCCAATGCTCTGTGTGTTCTCTGTCCCAATCGGCATTGGGCAAGGTACCCAGCGGTGTTTCCTTAATCACCAACCGAGTGGTTAGCTCCTTGAGAGTGCCAGGGCCCTTTCCTGGGGGCTCGCTCTACTGGCTCACTGCAAGGATGAGGGCAGACAGCTCTCCTGGTGGCCCAGTCCTTGGTAGAAGCAGTAGGTAATCGTTTATGAGATGCCACTGCATGGGTTCCTCCCTTCCATTAGCAGGACTACTCCACAAACATGGCCCCTGGAATGCCCAGTGGACAGAACCTGGTGACCTTTCCTTTAGAGAACAATGAGGCCTGGGCCTTCTGAGGACTCCTATTGGTGGAGAGAGGTGAATTTCCTCTCCCCAGAGCGACAGGCTGGATGCCAAGGCTGACTGACCTCTATGGATTCTCAAAAGGAGGACCTGAGCCTCCCTGGCAGTAAGTGCACCATCTCTAGTCCCTGCCTCTCACTTCGTGCCCTTAGGCATGGTGACAAATAGTTAGGGGAAATATTTTGCATGGATGGAGGAGTGGTGGCTGCTTGGAGTGCTAAGCAATTAGATGACAATCTGTTCTAGAGACATAAGGACTACTGGAAAGCTGACTGAGCTCTTACCATTTCTAGACCTAGTGTTTCTTCTCTGTAAATAGCTAAAATGATCCCTTAAGTAACTTGGAAGTCTAGTGTTGAACAAGAGAACGAGGAGGGAGGGAAGGAATTGAAAGAGTAATGGTGATGAGGTCAAGGAGAGGAATGAGAAACAGCTCAGAGCTTACACGAATGCATCAGATTTCTTTCTCACTGCCTTAGTGTGGATCTCCTTGTGCGTTGGATTCCTGGGGCTGTGTTCCTCGCTAATAGGCAGCTGCATTCTCTTTCTGCACTGGAAGAAGAACTTGCAGAGAGAAGAACATGCCCAGCAGTGGGTGGAAGTGATGAGAGCTGCCATGTTCGCCTACAGCCCACTGTTGTACTGGATAAACAAGCGGCGTCACCATGGCATGAGTGCAGCCATTAACACTGGCCCTCCCCCTGCTGTCACCAAGACGGAGACCCAAGTTCAGAATCCAGATTCTTTGTGGGAGCTGAATATCTCTGAAGGCAGAAACTATGTTATGCGAGACAGCAGTCCCAGGGGTGAAGCCTCCAGTCCCTCAAAACATGTCCTGGTGGTCCCCAAACAGCCCCTATCTTCAACAATGCCACAGCCTTGGACTGACTCCTCACCCCCAATTCCCATTTTTCAGGAGGTGCCCTTTACCTTGTCCCTCTGCAACCTACCTCCCATGCTGAACCACTCTGTCTCCTACCCTTTGGCCAACTGCCCTGAAAAAAATGTTCATTTCTCTTCCCTTCCCAAACTGGCCCATGGAACAAACTGCTTTAATGCCAAGCCCTTTGCTTCTGAACTGTAGTCTCCTCTCATTGAGGGAGGGAGCTGCAGGTACCAAGGCTCCTTTTGGTGGAAAACAGAGATACCCTCAAGGAGTTGGTTATTGACAAGGAGGTTAGAGCCATCTGGATATTACATCATGAAAGATTAAAAAAAAAAAAGGGTCTAAGTCTCTCCTCTGTTTCATCTATTTCTAGAAGGGCAATATCTTGAGTATGTGACTGTAGCACTTTGCAAATCAATCTGGTCACGAGTTTCACTGTTGCATGTTCCGGGAACTGGAGTTTAGCATTTGGGGGACTGGACTCAATATTCCTCTATCCAGTATTCAAGCCCAAATGAGTGCCAGGCTCTGACTTAGGCCTCCAGGCACTGCTGTTCAGCAGGATGGGATGGGAAGCACAGCTGCCACAAGAGGACAGTTGTTGAGGGCTGGGTGACCCACACTGGCTATGTCATAGGCCTAACAAATGCCACTACAGTATAGATGGACTGTTATTTGCCATGTATGGATTCTTAGCTGGCTGTCTTTGTCCTTTATTTCTAATATTCCCAAGAACAATGCCAAATGGCTGTTCTTCTGATCCTCCTGTTAGAGATGCAGACTCAGGTTCTCAGGGCATATGCCTTCCTTGTTGCATGGCCAGCTCTCCAGTTCACATTTTCCTGGCATCTAACTTCCGAGTATTTCTACTGTACCCCATGGTATATTTGCTTAGTCATGTCTTGTTAGAACAGTTTGGTTAAAAGCATTAGTGTGTGTGTGGGTTGTCATTAACCTGACTGGCAGACTGGTTGGTCAGAGCATCTTCTACAATTACACCTAGTTTGTATCGTATCCTTTCTTTCCTCCTTTTCTCCTATTTTCTTTTTTTTTTTGAGATGGGGGCTCACTATGTTCTAGGCTAGCTTGGAACTTGTGTATGTTAGGCTACCCTCCTGCCTCTGTCTTCTGAGTGCTGGATTTCAGGTTTGTATCCCCATACTTGGCTTTATTGCTTATATCTTTCTTTAAATTTTTCTTTAATTTCATGTGTATGGATGCTTTGCCTTCATGTATGTGTTTGTGGAAGCCAGAAGAGGGCATTAGATTCCCTGGAACTGGAGTTACAGACAATTGTGAACTTCTATGTGAGTGTTGGGTCCTCTGGAAAAGCAACCAGTGCTCTTAACCACTGAGCCACCTCTCCAGCACCATTTATATCTTTCCTAAAAATAAACATGACTCCTCAAAAGTTAAGATCCATTACATGGGAATGTCAACACCTCCTGAAAAAGTCCTTAAAGGACTGATAAAGATTAACACTACCTATTTGGTCCAGTTTTAAGATCAGAAGGAGTGGCTCAGCCATAGAATAGGAATTTCTCCTTTTCATTACCCCTTCTCTCCCCCAGTGCTGGGGATTGAACACAGGGTTTTGTGCATACTTGGCAAGTGCTCTACCATTGAACTATGTTTTCCCAGACCTCCTTTCACTAGGGAAATCAGCCAAACCCATGTTTGTAAATGATGTAAGCTTTATGTATAAACTGCCCTGAGTGGAAGGCTCACTCAGATTTTGTGTATGTATGGTAAGGGAGAGAAGACATAGGGATCCCCAGAACTTGGTAAATATGTAATGAATTTCTTTATGTGTATAGAAAAGCCCCAGTCCTGTCTATACAAACTCTAGTAATGGATTTTAAGCCCTCTCCAGCCCCCCAAGTCAATGGAACGTTTTTTTAAACCATGCTCTTTAAGTAGAATCTGAAAACATAAAACAGGCCTACGTGACTCTTCTGATGGACCCTCGCATAGCCTCATTCTTTGTCCTTCTCTTCCTCCCTCTCATCCTGAATATGCCTACAGCCTGAGCCCTGCAGCCTTCACTACTCAGGTCAAACACTGTCATTCTTTCATGTCTTTTTTGAAAAACAAGAAACAACACAAGCAAACAAAAAACCAACAATGAATTTCATTCGGGTTGCTTACCAGTGGCTACACTACTTAAGAAAATAAATTTCCCATCCACGACAATCATGAACTGCATTTAAGTTAATGTTAGTAAAGTCAGGGAGGGGTGGGGCCTCATGAATGAGCTTTCTGATCCATGACCAGATGTTGGCAGGCTCAGTCTTGGGTAGATAATCACAACTTCAGTGGGTCTGAGAGTGCAAGAGCCACATCAAACTCAATGTAAGTATTCTACTCCCCTACTTCCTCCAGCTTGTGTATTCTGTCCACCTCATCTTCAGCAATGAGCCCTGAACCCGGAGGGGATATATAAATGTCTCATTCATGGATGGACATTTAACCCTCACTTTGTGTGGTTATGAGTTTCTGTAGAATGGCCTATGACCTTCCCAGCCACAGGCTTTTGACTGAGCTTATGATACTAGGTCATGAATTCCCTGTTGTGGAGTGGGCCTCAAATCCAAACAGAAAATGGTTGGTTATTCCTGTAATAGAATTGATATTATTGTACCAGTGGGCACATCTTGCCTGGATGGCCAGTAGTACTGTGCACAGGTCCATAGCTGACTGTTGATGACTTTTTACCCCAGCAGCTTAGAGAACACCTTCATGCATTATGAGGGCTATCCATAAGGAAGGAAGCTTCCTGCCTAGTTCCAGCTTGATTTCTGTCCTGTGAACAGAGTATGTGATGTCTTCAGCAAAGGAATATTACAGATGGGTCTTACAAAGGGATCTGACAGGCAACCAACAGCAGAGACAATTCTTGCATTTTTTCAGTTAGCCTCAGGAGCCTCCTTGACAGAACATTGGAATTCCTAAGGCGGATTCTTGAATACTGTTTTGTGACACTAACTAATAGCCTTTGATTTCAAGAGGAGGTAGCAAGCAGTCCACAAAAATGGCGATTAAAGCAAGTTTTTCCCTTTAATAATCAGGGGAATCAGGGAATATTTCAGTCAGACACAGTGAAAGAAAGGAAATGTTTTATTTAGATAAATTAAAATGGCTATATTAATAGGAAATCAGTAAAGCTCAAATGAAGTCATGGAAACCTTGAATCCACTCCCTAAACAGAACCAAAACTGCTTATACATTACCAAAATAGCTCCATTAATATAAAGTAGATTTACATTTCTTAATATGAGAAAACAACAAGGTAGGTTAGGTTCATATAACAAACAATACATGCTCTCTCAAGTCTCAGGAATACCCAAATGTATTCTGGCTTGACTGTAAGAGAAGGGACCACATCTAGATGGTTGGTAAGGAAGCCAATGAGGTGTGCAGCAAACAAAAGCTGTCACTAAAAACAACTCAATAGGCCATTATGAGTGTGAGCCTATCAGAGTCAAAATCTTTAGCTGTGACTGCTGGGACCAGAGAGGGGGGCTGATAGGGCTGTGTCCAGCAATGACAAAGAGAAGGCTGAAATGGAGGTGAGAAGAGCCGGCAGCGAAGAAAGACTGTCCACTCTTCAGCTCTAGCATTAGACTCATTCTGCTCCTTAACTGCCACTGCATTCGTCTTTAAGCTAGGTACTTTTTTTGAGACAAGATTTCACTATGTAGTCCGGACTGGACTAGAACTCATTATTTTCCTGCCTCAGCCTCCCAAGGGCTGGGTTATAGGCATGTACTACCATGACTAGCTAGAGGAAGGTTATTCAGTAAATATTATGCTAGATGATACACAGCAGTAAAGCAAAGGGCCAAGGAGAATGCTTATAGAAACGAAGTGGGAAGCACTAGAGAGCTGCTGACTGACAAGGCCAAACTCACCACCACCATCCAGTTCTTCTCTTAGAGGTGATCTGTGGCTGGTGAAGCCTGACAAACACAAGGCACTGGATGCACAAGTTAAGACAATATACAAATGAAAACCCCAATCCGCACTGAGGGATAGGCTTTTGGGGCTCCTAGGCCAGTGAGTCTGTCCAATTTTTAGCAAAGGAGGATAAGATACCTACCTCTACCCAGGAGATCTGGTAATGCCTCCGGCAGGATGAGAAGACAGTTATGGATACTTGTGGTCAACTTGGTAGGGGAGGGGACAACACACGGCTCAGGGGTGATGCTGGCAGACAAGCTTGAAGAGGAAAGAACAGAAGAAAGACCAAGAAACAAACCCTGCTTCCCCACTGAAAAGCATGTACCACAAAGAGTTAAGGTGTCTTGAAAGTATCTGCCTACAAATAAAAACTTGAAACTAAAAAGGACAAGCTACATTACCCTCAGTATATTTCATATAAATCAGTTTTCAAAAAAAAATACCTTCCAGGTACAGACATACTATTTATAGTACAATATATACAAATATAGCAGAATAATTCAATTTATTGCTAGAACTTTATTTGGTTGTTACAAAATCTGTAAGGGTCTATATATATTAAAAAGAAGGGGAGTAGAGAAGGCAGCCAGAACAAGAGTTACCTTCAAGTTACCTAAAGTGCCAGGATAATGTTGAAGTGTATTTTCAACCTTTCCAAGAAAGTGACAGCATAGATGGGCAAGGCAAACGTTAAGGCAAAAAATTTAAAGAGGAAGAAATGTGAGATAAGAAGACACATGCACAGGAAAACTTTATCTTGCCTTCACTGAGTTTTAATTATGTCTAGGGGGAAAAAAAAAAGCCAACACCAAGCTGAATGTCACGTAAAGGAAATAAAATACAAAACCAAAACAAACCAAAACCCAAACATCTTTAAAGGTTTAAGGGTACTAGACTATCCAGAGCTCACAGGGCAACTTGAACAGAATTCAGTAGCAATGCTCTGTACTAAAGAAGCCTGCATCACAGCAGCTTCTCCAGTGTTTCCCTGACTGGTACAGCAAAGTGAGGTTCTGTGTGGTCTTCACTTATGTTGCCCAGAGATGCTAAGAACAACACTGGGAGTATTCTCAACAGACAGTGACATTGGTGACTTCCTTCTAGTCAGACCTTTCATGACTTGCCCACAGAGTACGTGCAGGGGGAAGCATTGTACTTGCTTTGTAGATCTGGAAAAACTGCCACCACCACCAGGAGGCCCCTGCTCCAAGCCTGCCTGCTCACTGTGGCATCCTCTGGACAGAAAAACCTATAGCTACTTCTGAGTGGACAACTGTGAGGAAAGAATATGATTTCACATTTTATTTGACCACATTTTGGCTTTCGGCATCCTGCCAAGAAATAAGTTCTCGGTTAGTCCAGAGGTAAAATCCCAAAGGATGTTGTTTCCCGAGTCAAAACTTAGAGCTTTTCTCTAATGCTCTAGACAATGAATTTGACAGAGTGACCAAGGACATGAGCCTTCTCGTTCCAGACTGGAGATGGTGCCAGAGGGAGGCAGTTACCACTTTAAGGTGGTCTTGAGTAGGTGGATAGAGAAGACAATCTAGCTTGCTTGAGGGGAAAACATAATTCGCCACTGATTAACTTTTATGCTCATAAACTCTGAAAGATAATTAAAAATGAGGGAAATCCCAACATGACGTCTCTGGTTTTTATGTTAGGAATAGGAGCAATGACCCAGAATCTGACTTTCCTGAGTCTGGAGCTGGCACCTTCTGCATAGCTCCCAGGATCTGATGCCCCAGCTCCCAGGCCAAACAAACCTGTGGTGGTGCCAAGGCTTTGAGGGTTACCTTAAAGAGACGTGAACAGTTTCAGCTACCACCCAGAGGAGACTGTCAATTACTTAAAACCAGTCATTTGTTCATCCTGTTCAAAGCCATTCTTCTTCTGACTTTCTACACAATATGCACAGTCTCCCTCTCATTTTATATATTTACAAACAGAAAAGACTCATCTTTCAAAGAAAAGACATATTCTGAGGCTCTATAAAGTGCAGCTAATTTAAGGCAAATTCATATGAAATATAAACAGTGACTTATTATCTCTATATACACACTTTCCAGCTTTAAAAGATAAGTTCTCTTCCCCTCAAAAACAGGAAAGAGATATAGGGCTTTATTATTTTTCTTCTGGCAACTTTTAAGTTATAAGATCTTACTGGCTTCAGGAAATCATAGATTTCCAAACATCATATTATAAGTAAAATCTTTTTTTTAAAAAAATAACTTTTTTTGATAGAGTTTTCAAACAAGTTAAAAGGTGGCAATGTGTCTGCTACAGTAGTGTGAAGGGCTGGAGGGCTGATGGGTAAGTCGGGTTTTTTTTTTTTTTTAAAGGTAAGTAGATTTTAGGTAGTCCAGTGTACAATCCATTTCAAAATATGCCTGATGATACTAGATACCTAAAGCTACTCTTAGCTCTTGGAAGGAGTATCTTCCATCTCCATTGGAGTCAAAGACTCTCAAGCTCTCTGGTCTTGGCATGGCAGAACCTAGGGAATTCCAGATTTCCTGGTAGGTCAGCATCCCATCTGCATCTTGACCAGCCTTGTGGAATAAATCCTGAAGATCTGTTAAACAGGAATTAAAAAACAGACATTTAGATGTTTACACACACAGTTAAAAGTAGCTTCAGCTGACTTCAAAGCATTAAAGAAAAGCTACTTTGTCAGATGTGGTGTTGAATATCTTTAATCTCAGCATTTGGGAGTGGGTGGGTAGAGGCAGGCAGATCTCTTCGGATTTCAGAATAGCCTACACAGTAAGCTCCAGGCCAGCCTGGGCTACATCCTGAGATCTTATCACCATGCAAACAAACCTCTCTCCTGCAAAACAAAACAACCCTCTCAACTTTGCTTCAAAAAAAATGTTATCTTTGGGGTTGGAGAGATCGCTCAGAGTCAAGTCTCCAATCAGGTCCAGGGGACCAGATGCCCTCTTTTAGCCTCCAAGGGCACCCCTTCCAATACCCAGCAGTCAGTTTCCTCCCCCCTCCCCCCACCATGCACACAGTACTAGTTGCAGATTTTGACTCCAAAAGATGACATCTTAAGATTTCATTAAATCAGAATGACCGGGCTGGAAGATGGCTCGGTGGTTAAAGTGCCTGCCATCATGCAAGCGTGAGGACCAGAGTTTGGATCCCCAGAATACATTCAAGTGCTATGCGGGCATGGAGGTCTTTCTGTAACCCAGCCTCAGAGTGGTGACAGGATCCCCAGAGCAAGCTGGCTGTTGAGACTGGCCCTACCGACCAGCTCTGCATTTGATGGAAAGCCTCTGCCGAAATGAGATAGGAATAGCAATGGCGATGATTCCTGACATTAAACTGGGACCTCCGAATATATGTGTACAAGACCACACATGTGTAAACATGCACACACACCCATGCACAACTCCCACCCATGTAAACATTTAGACACATACACAACACACACGCACACGCATACGCACACGTACAGACATGAAAAAGAAAAAACAAGAGAGACTAATTTTGATCCTTTAAGAATGAGGGGAATACTATATGGCACATAGCTTCTTAAACTGTGAGCTGCAAACCCATATGGGGTTATGTACCTGAATGCAGGGGTCACAAAAAGTTGGGCAATAATAAAAGATTTCTTAACACTAGTGACCAAAAGTTAAATAAAAGTCATATGCTTAACAAGTCGGAGGTGTTTCTGGAAGTGTTGGCCTGCACTGCACTGCATGACTGTCCTGACACACAACGTGTACACTTTGCAGCGCACATGTCCTTGTGCCACACACCACCAAATGCTGCCGGAAGCACTTTGCTTTGGATTTGAGACTACTGTGTGTTGTGAACTGCAGTGCTTTTATCGTATATATCAAGTTTTTTTCTTCTTATAGGAACATAATGGTTTGTAGAAAACAAAGACTTTTAATATTTTCTTGCCATTATTCTTTAGCATGTATCAAATCATGTATTGTGCTAGAATGTTTGATTTTTAAAATTGCTATTTGAGTTGCTGACTTGAGTTTCCAATTTCTGAAATGGTCCTAAAGATATTCTTGCTATATTGTACTACATATTTATGTGAGGTGGCATTCTCAGTACTGTCGATTATAAAATACAAAGATCAACCAACTTTGAAAAACACTGAAGTGTATCAAATATGGTTGGCTGCAAATTTTCATATTACCTAGTACGGCTCTTTCTAGACAATGTAACATTGTCTTTCTGGATCCAGAAATTAAGCAGCTCAAGAATCAGGGACTTGGGAGGGAGAGAAACACAGAAGGGGGAGGAGGGTAAAATAAGTAAGGATATCTAAAAAAGTTAAAAGGAATCATATATTAACTATTTACCTAAACAAACAAACAAACCACTGTAATATACATATGTCTGTGTATAAATATACATATATAGTTTAAGTGAAATCTCATCTGGGCTGGCAATGCTTTTTCCAAGAGCCAAAGACTACCTAAGAAAAACCTCAACATCAGGCATAAGAAGTCCTCTTTTTGTTGGTCAGTTTTGTTCAAGAGACTCCCCAGAACATACAGGCTATTGCCATTGTCCTTGGTTGCCTCCCAGAGGTGGAAGGTAGTCCCTATTGCTGAAGACACCATGCACTTCAGACACAGAGTCCAGAGGCTCCTGAGTTGGAACTGATCTGACAGCCTCCTCGCCAAGGACTAGCTTTTTTGGTACCAGAAGGTGCCAATCAAGCTTCCAAAGGAGGGAAGCAATCAAGAGTTCTACCCTACTATGATGCCTATGGAACACAATGATGACCAGCATGGCACAATAACCCGAAGAGTGTGTGGGAGAATATCATTTTAAAGTGTGCTACTTTTGTTTATGTTGCATTTGTTTAACTCTGTGAAGCTGTGTTACTTTGCCTGTCTAAAACACCTGATGGGCTAATAAAGAGCTGAATGGCCACTAGCAAGGCAGGAGAAGGATAGGCAGGGCTGACAGGCAGAGAGAATATATAGAAGGCGAAATCTAGGAAAAAATAGAGGAAGGAGCCAGAGAAGGAAGCCAGCCACCCAGCTACACAGCAAGTCACAGGGGAAGAGTAAGATTTACAGAAGTAAGAGAACGGAAAAGCCCAGATAGACGGGATAAGTTAAGGAAAGCTAGCAAGAAACAAGCCAAGCTAAGGTTGGACATTTATAATTAAGAATATATTCCATGTGTGATTTATTTGGGAGCTGGATGGGGGGCCCCCATAAAGAGCAAAAGAGAAAAAATGAACAACAAGAGTGCAGTAGTAGCATGGATACCTTGGCAGTAACCATCAGCTCTCTAACTGAACTTAAGATCTGCTTAAATTAAGAGGGAAATTATGCCTAGTACTGGAAACTTAGTTAACTACCCTGGCCTAGTGAAGTCATGGACCTTGGAGAACTTAGAACCTGCATAAATTCTAACAACACTCTAAAAGTATTTGTCCTTATATCTACAGATAGGGGTAGTAGAAATTTCCTTTATCAAGGAAAGTTCTTTTCACAACAAACAGAAACCACTACAGAAAACCAAAACCAATCAAAACACAGAGTTGTGGAGCTCAGTCCCAATGGATACATCTACAAAACAACTCCTGAATCTAAGGCTCAGGGAACATTGCAGAAGACAAGGTGGAAAGACTGTAAGAGCCAGAGGATCAAGGAATTTGCTCTGAGACTTGAAAATGCTATGGGATTAGACAGTGGTGATGACTGCATAGCCTTGAGAATATACTAAGGCCCACACAACTATACAGTTTAAAAGGGTGACATGCAATATGAATTATATCTCAATTAAAAAAGAGCCACAGGACTCTCTGTCTGCCTCTGTGTATTTATTTTTTAGTGGTTAATGCCACTAGTCAATCTGCATTAAAAAAATAACTAAGATATCATTTCAGCCAATGGGATTAGAAAGTTTCCAACAAAAGCCTTGAACATTTAAAAAGGATTTGAGCCAGGTGTAAGTGCATGCCTGTAATCCAGCTCAAGACCAGTCTTACGTATACAGAATGTTGAGGTCAACCTGGGTTACATGAGACTGTCTCAAAACAAACAAACAAAAGTAAAAGACAAAAAAAAGTTCAAACAAACACCAACCAACCAACCAACCAACAAACAAAAAATCCAAAAGGGGTTTAGAGCGATGGCTCAGTGGTCAGGAGTGCAGTCCTCGTCCAGAGAACCAGGGGGCAGTTTCCAGCATCCTTGTTGGGAGGCTCACAAATGCCTGCAGCTCCAGCTCCACGAGGATCTGATGCCTCTGGACTTGGAGAGAGCACACACAATTAAGAATTGTGTAAATAGCCGGGCGGTGGTGGCGCACGCCTTTAATCCCAGCACTCGGGAGGCAGAGCCAGGCGGATCTCTGTGAGTTCGAGGCCAGCCTGGGCTACCAAGTGAGTTCCAGGAGAGGCGCAAAGCTACACAGAGAAACCCTGTCTCGAAAAACCAAAAAAAAAAAAATGACTTGATTGAGTTTTTATGTATATTGAAAAGATTTGTAATACTGAAGAAATGAAGGTTTCTGGCTATGTTTTTTTTTTTTTAAAGTCTTCCTGATTATTTTCCTTCATTTACTCAAGGCCACACTTGGACTCCACAAGCCTCTTGCCATTTGGGACTGGGGAAGAATGAAAATGTGCCAAAGGGAGGGAGAACAGTTTCTGTGCAAGATGGGCTCCACTGAGGAACTCTTACAAACTCTGACAGTCCCTCCTTCCTGCTGTCACAGGCCTGGTAGTGCAGCCAGTGAGGCCTCAGAAGTTCCTGAGCCAGAAGAGCAGACGGAATACTTCCTCCCAGTGCCCAACACCAAACGGCTAGATGGAAATTCTTACATGTGTGTTGGTGTGAAGGTGTCAGATCCCCTGGAAATGGAGTTACAGACAGTTGTGAGCTGCCATGTGGGTGCTGGGAATTGAACCTGGATCTTCTGGAAGAGCAGCAAGTGCTCTTAACCACTAAGTCATCTCTCCAGCCCCAGAAACTCTTTTTAATAGAGAGCAAATACAATGACTCTCCTTCCTCTCCAGAAAACAAAGGGAAACTACCAGAGGCAGGGAAAAGAAGAGCTTTTTAAGCATTAATTAATCGCGGCATGTAAGCAACTCATTCATTCAGCTACACATTTATGTCTACCAGGCTCTGAGCAGTAGGCTAGGGAGTGACTAGGACCGAGACTTTATACTCATGGAAGCTAAACTTCGTTTCTCCCCAGAGAATTTCAACAGAGTAGCATATGCTAAATAGGAACAAACAAAACCAGTCATAATGTACAGGAAGCACTACTCCAGACCTGGGAGATAACGTACAAGGGCGTCTAAGGTAAAGTGAAGAGCCAGTGGAAGGCATGTGATCAGAACTGGGTGATTTTCCAGACAGCAAAAGAACACCAGGAGGCCTCAACATCATGATGAAGAGTAGAAGACATTACTGGGAACAAGGCAAGCGTCATCCTATGAAATACAGCCTCTTATGGGTATTTATTTTGCTCATTGTCAAGATCCCAGAGGGCCCTGAAAACAGTCAACTTTGACTTGTTTTGCTAATCTCACAGAATTGTTTTTGTTTTTTTCTGTCCTCTGCATTAGACAACATACCTGAAGGAAAGAAAGATTTTCTTTGGAGACATGATCTCACTACATATAGCACAGGCTGGCCTCAATTTCTTTATCATTGTGCCTCCGCCTCCTGAGTGCTGGGGTTAGAGGCATGTACCACTGTATCTGGCTGAGACTGTATCTTATAGTGTATTCCCATTCTTTGACTGAACACCTTAAAAAACATTGAAAGACAGTATGGAGGCTTTGGAGTCAGCCTCAATTTGAAGTCTGTCTCAACCAATTATCTGCTGTTCAGACTGAGGCAGTGTTCTGTAGCTGGCCCAATAATGTGGATATAAACTGTGTGTGTGTGTGTGTGTGTGTGTGCGTGTGTGTGTGTGTGTGTGTGTGCGTGTGTGTGTGTGTTTGTAGGTATGTGGAGGCCAGAGGACAACCTCAGCTGTCACTCCTCAGGTACTGTCTACCTTTTAAAAATTGATTATCATTATTGTTACTTTTTTTTATAATTTATTTCTTTGTATTTTATGTGGGTTGGTGTTTTGCCCGAATGCATGTCTGTGTGAGGGTGTGGGATCCCCTGAGACAGGAGTTAGACAGTTGTGAGCTGCCATGTGGGTGTGGGAATTGAATCCGGGTCCTCTGGAAGAGCAGTCAGGGCTCTTAACTGCTGAGCCATCTCTCCAGCCCCCAAAATTGATGGTTATTATGTGTGGGTGGATACATGTCACGTGTGAAGGTCAGAGGACAACTTCATAGAGTCAACTCTCTTCTTTCACTTGAGTTGGTTCTGGGGATTGAACTTAGGTCATCAGGCTGTAAGTGCTGTTAACCACTCAGCCATCTTTCTGGCCCCTGTTCACTTTCTGTTTTTGAGAAAGTTTTTCTCACTAGCTTTGGAACTCAACAAGCAGGTTAGGCTGGCTGGCCCCTGAGCCCCAGGACCTGCCTGTCTCCACATCCCCAGTGCTGGGATTATAAGAATGTGTGCCACCACACCTGCTTGTTTGTTTTTTAACTGTGTTCTGGGGATTGAACTCAAGTCTTTAACACCTGAGCCATCTCTTCAGTCCATTAGATAGGCTTTTGTTTTTAAACAAGAAAACATTAAAAAGCTGTAACTGTCACAATGTTGAACATTTCCATCATTAACGTTACCTTTGATGCTAGAAATCCCTGGCAAGGAGATAGGTTTCAGCTGGGTCTCAATTTGGTCTCCAAGAAGGTGTGAAAATTTTGACAATGCTGACGGATCTGATGTGAAGTTCTGTACTTGCTCTGTAGCAAACACATACATCTTTATTACAATCAATTCTAATACCAAATTAAATTAGTATTGAAGGTGAACTTTGAGGATAACAGCATACATATTTAATTAAGAGAAGTAGCCAAGAGTTAAAGTGGCACAGTAACTGTGAAGTTGAAGCTGTGGACTGAGGGATGTCTGTGGACAAGTGAGGAGGAATCAGCATTCCATTAAGGTCTGAAACAGAACCCTTGCTGAGGGTGAGTAGCCCTAATCTGAAATGCCCCCAAATCAAAAGCTTTCGGAGTACAGACACAGGTGGAAAACTCCACATGTGACTTCATGTGATGGGTCACAGTCAAATAAAGGTGACCTAAAAATACCAAATAAAATTAACACAAGGCAATATGTATATGGATAATGTATATATGAACATGAATGAATTTCTGTATTTAGACTTGACACCAACTCAAAGATAACCTGCAAATATTTCAAAAAATGAAAGAACTCCAAATTGAAAATACTGTAGGCCCTACATATTTTGGATAAGGAATACTCAAGCTATAATAAGTACAGTTAACATCATTTATGCTTAGATGCTAAGACTTTAGTTGGATAAGTCTTTTGACTTCTTGGGAAATAGGCTGGTAAGTCTGGTCTGGGGGTATGAGCCACTAGCTACCACTATGCCACCATAAGAACGCTATCATAAGACAATATTAGGGGAAGGCCTTCAACGTAGCTCTGTTTCTCACAGGAGAGAATCCCAGGAAAGCTATCCTACATCTCCAAAGCTGAAGAATGCTTGGTGCAGGGAGGTCAAAGCCAACACTGTCTAGTACCTTGTTCTGTCCTCACAAGACCTAAATCAGTAGATGTTAATTAATGCATCTGATAATATTGATTAAGTGTGTCCTTACCTACAGCCAAGTGGCCTGTATTGAATAATTCCATCATTACATGTTAATGACTTTCAGGAGGACTAATATTTATTTTTAAGTAAATTTTATGCACTCACAGTAACAGAAACATAACATTTAGGACTGGTTTAATATAAGCTATGACAGTAACATTTTTGCCTATAATTGGATGCAGGCAGCATGGAGAAGTCTATTTCCAGCTAAACATTACCCGTTCTCCCCTTAATAGACTAGAGTACAAATCAAGTACAAAATGGGCTTTTGCTAAATGAAAGCGAAGTGCATCAGCCTCATCTCAGTGCGCTCAGGCATCACTCACTCGGTTTCATCAGTGCTGGCGGACACTGTTCCTACTCCCTGTGTGGGAGGCAGGCTGCCCAAGCCTGCGTGAAATACTCAGAAGTCAGCTTGCTGCTCACCTTCCTCTGCCGTCTCCGGAGGCCTGTTGCTTTCAGGTTTGTTTGTGAGAGCACTGATCAGCTGCAGTTTTTCTCGAAGCTTGGATACCTGAGAATTTGAATTATCTTCTTTCTGCCCAAAACAAAGATCAGATAGGTTTAAGGCAGAAGTGACAGCTAACTGGAGACTGCTGTATTCCCAGAACACATTTCACTGACCTTTACCAGGGCCCTCTAACGTCAAAGAAGGGACGGACAAACACCAGGGCTGTCTTTAGGGCAGTGCTGAGCTGGATTTAAGGCTAGACCATTAAGGGAACATTACGTTCTCCATGATCTGTCTCACTGTGAACATTCCACTGATAGGGGAAGGCATGCATATGTCAGCAGTAAAGAAAATGTGCCCTTTCTCAGGTGCCTGTGTTATACCCGCTTCCCAGATGATGGGGGAACGCTGTTTTCTGGAGTTATTTTACACTAACTAAAAGACTGCCTCAGATATCACCGTGTGACCATGTCATCTGAAGCAAATTAAAAAAAAAAAAAAAAGTCAATCAAACCACAAGTATTCCCCGGATCTGGCCCATATCCCTACTGTAATGATTCAACTGGTGGCAGGAACTGTCAGACACGAAAAACAAGTTGGGATATTTCTAATTTAAACTGTTACTTGAGTTTAACACCTTCCTCACCCTACTGCCTTCTTTCCAGCTTAATCTAGGATGGCATATAAAAAACAGAATTAATTGCAAAGAGAGAAGCCTGCTTTTCCTGTGGCTAGTGTCTGCTTACTGTATGAAAAGGCCTGGTCCTCTGTTGAGAAGTGCCACTACATCTCATTTCTCATCCCCAGTGAGTTTACACATCCCTTTCCTGTCTTTACTTCCACCCTAATAGCTACTGTACAGTGGCTACCTAGTTTACTTAGGGAGATCCAATATGGACATATGAATGAAACTAGGTACTAAATGCTTACTCCCAGGAGAAAATGAATCTGGCTGGGATGCTTTGATGAGATAACATGAAGAGACTGATCGACTGGCACGAAGTTATAAAAGTAAAGCCAAGAGATCTAGGCAGAAATGTGGTACTGTGTTCTGATCTGACTGTTAAAAATGTGAATTACTGCTGAAATCACTACTATTTTCTAATAGTAACCATCTGGGTTTGTGTGTGTGTGTGTGTGTGTGTGTGTGTGTGTGTGTGTTCAACATTTAAATCCTGGTTCTTAAAATTTTCTTGTCATTCTCTCAGTGAGGTTTGAAAAATGTACAGAAGCAGTTTAAAAACTCAATAAAAGCTCAGCTTATAATGCATCAAAATCTTAAATATACACAACTTTATCTAGACAATTGCTAAGGATAGAATTGCTAAGGATGAAAAAGTAAAGATAGAAAGCTTTACATCAAAAGCTTCTACAATGTGGCTTCAGCCAAGTTTGTCTCCTATGAACTTCCTATCCTCTGACCTCAAACACTGTGTGCACCTTGGGTAACGCTGCAGTAAGTGTCACCTCTTCCTGGCTTTCCCTTTATCTTAGCAGGACTTAAAAGGACTATGAAAGCGTTGAGAGTGTAATCTAAATGTGAAATGATTTGTAAGCTGGACACCATTTTTAGATTATCTATGCCTCTGTCCCTATCATTAGTTTAGATAACTGTGCTAATTTTTGTCAACTAGAGTTACCTGGGAAGAGGGAACCTCAGTTGAGGAACTGCCTCCATTAGACTGGCCTGTGGACATGTATATGGGGCATTTTCTTAATTGCTAATTGATGGAGGAAAGCCCAGCCCACTGAGGGTGGTGAAATCACTAGGCAGGTGGGCCTGAGCTGTATAAGAAAAGGAGATGAGCAAGCCAGAGGAAACAAGTCAGTAAGTGGCCTCTCTCTGTAGTTTCTGCTTCAAGCTCCTGCTTTGGCTTTCCTTGATAATGGACTATAACTCATGTGATGTAATAAATGTTCCTCTCTGTGCTGCTTTCGGTCATGGTCACAGCAACAAAAGCAGACTGGGACAATACCTGTCTTAGTTTACCAGCCATTTCCTTGGGAAAGCAACCTGATTCCTATGCTTTTCCACTGAAGTACTTACCAGGCTTGTGACTAAGTATCTGTTCACAATAGGGGTCACATATCTATCTCACTCACTGTGGCCATCCCAGCTCCTAGTAAAGTGCTGAGCACAAGGTAGGTGCTTGGTGTGATGTTCATTAACTCACTAATACCCTAACTTACTAATTGCTCGGTCTTGGAGTTTATCACCAGAGATCAAATGCTCCTCTTAGAGGGAACAGCATAAAGACGCTGATGCATTTGTTTGACTTTATGGAAGCTTCCTGTTTACCTTTATGCTCTGGGCCTTTACAGTATCAGTTCTGCGGTTCACCAAAGACTCTCTTTTCACAAGTCTCAATCAATTACTCTTCACCTTTTTCTTTTTAAGACAGGGTCTCTCACTGAACCTGGAGCTTGCCATTTTCACTACAGTGGCTGGCTAATGAGCTCCGGGAATCTGTCTGTCTCTGTTCACTCCCAGATTCATGCCACTGTGTCCAGCTTTTATGTGGGTGCTGGGCTATGAACTCAGGTCTTCATGCTTGTGTGGCAGGCACTTGACCAACTGAGCCTTCTCTCCAGTCTTGGCACTTAATAATTCTTAAACCAATTGGTCAAGTTTATTGAAAGGATATGAACCACTTCAAACACAAATGGCAAAGGGGTGGGAGAAGAGAAGAGAATGGAGATGGGCACCAGGAGACAAAGTAGAAAGAGAAGCTTCTAAATATTTTAGCTACAACCTTTAACACTGAAGTACAAAGGGCAACAGAACTTCTACCCAGATCCAGACTCAGTCTGATGTTATTGGAAGAAATAGTAGGGCAGATGGACACTATTACCAATTATCTTTGCTGGATAAAAATAAGAGGGGGATGGCAGAGACAGCACGGGGTTTAGGTGGTAAGTTTTCACAATAAGCCTTGAAAACCCTTCAAGGCACATTATTCATCAAATCATTCAAAGTTCTCAGCTCTTACTTAGCTTAGCTGCGTTCAAAAGGGCTTTAAAAACAAGGCCTCTTTAATCTCCACAGCTTTGTAGTAAATTACACACTCTTGTAAAGCAGGAGGGGGACAGGTCTTTCTACCCCACCTTACAGAGCCATATTCAGGCAGCTTGCCAAAGTTCACTGTGGCAGAGCCAGCTCAAGCATTCCTTACCATGTGCCAGGACGACTTTATGTGTGAGTTAGTTTCCAGCTTTGGCAGTTACTTGAATTTACAGTACAGTTTCCCATATTTGGTTTCCATCAAAAACTATATCATGTCTTTGCTCTATTGAACCTTTAAAAGTGAGACCTGTCACTGTTAACGAAACAATTCACATGAATCCCAGCATGATGTACAGTTGAAATGTGATCACAAACAAACAGATTCCGTTCATGAGATCATGAAGCCAGCAAGCGTGCGTCGCCACCACCTGGCTTGACTTCATCTTTTTAAAAATGTTATTTTTATTAGCAAACAGTTATACATTATGATGGGTTTCATTATATTTTCATCTATGTACATAATATATTCATCATGATCACCTCCATCCACTCCCCCATTAACCCTTACATGTGCCTCCCACTTCTGCCAATCTTCTTCTTCCCATCTAATTCTCCTCCTCCTTTCATATCTTTTCTGTGTGACCCAGCTGGTTTCATTAGGGTTTGTTTATAGAAGCAACTTCATCTGTTTTAAATGGCTTTCCTAATATTATATGTAAAAGGTTTCCTCTAATATGCAGACAGGAGCAGGATGAATCTGAAAGCCAAGTTCAGGGTTAAAAAATGGCACAAGATTGTTATATCTGCCCCTCTTCCCCCCGCCCCCCCTCCCGGAGCTGAGGACCGAACCCAGGGCCTTGCGCTTACTAGGCAAGTGCTCTATCTCTGAGCTAAATCCCCAACTCCTGTATCTGCCCCTCTTACCACTTCTAACACCTTAAGAGAAGAGAGCAGAAAAGGAAAAAAGACCTCCTTTGGAAAAACATGTCCAAGTTTCCCTACCTGATGGCCCACTGGCAACACTGTAAGAGACTTGTCATTTCTGTCAACAAGTTGTAGTGAGTTGCCATGTTTAAACTGACCCTTGATCTCACCCCTTTAAACACATATACCCTGTGCACTTCAGAGAGCTATTATATGGATTTAAGCAGACATAAGTTAAGCACAAAACAAATGTGTAGCCTCTTAAGTATGCCAGACTACTGTTCACAGAGGACAGGGAATATCATCTACGTACAGACAACACACACAACACACACCAACACAGAGCATGTCACAGCAGAGCTGAGAAGGCTTACCACGCTGGAGGTCAGGCTTGCTCTTTTTCCTGCCTTGCTCAGTGCAACCACATCACTTTCTATCAGGCTGAGTCTCTGTGTCAGGTTACTGAGTGTCTCATTCATTCCCTCGAATTTAAGGTCACTCTGTCTCTGGTATCCCATTACAGTACTGTTGAGCTCCTCTAAGGAGTTGGGAAGGTACAGGATATCCTAGAGTGGAAATAGAAGAGTTGTGGGATCCACCTAAATACTGCAACTAGACAAGCAGGCAGGAGCATTGCAGCAAGCACTACTGCGTCAATGAGGGAAGGCACTTTTCTTGGCCGTGACCACCAACTGCCTCGAGCTGCTTTGCTCTTTCCCTAAACTGTTCCCAATCTGCCCTCTCGGATTGTTTGGCCTCAGCTAGACAGGAGGGTGAAGAAGAGAACCATCTGCAAGCTCCCACTCTGGTCCCTCAAAGCGGTGAGTCTGGGAATTAATTTCCTCATGTTTACCTCATTTGCTGGCAGGAGAGCATATTGGGTTATTAACTGAAGTCCCATTAACTTAATTGGTCAGAACAAAGCTACCTTAGGAACAATACCAATTACTGAATTGGCTCATGTAACAAAAGCACAGCAAGTAGTGCATTATTTAGTACAAGATTCAATTATTTTTATTGACATATTCTAGTACTGATTGCTACTTAACAAGGAATGATGACTATAGGTTTTAAAGGGCATTAAACTCAGGACAGAAATTCTTCTTAGAGATTTCCTTTATTCTCTTTAATGTGATTCTGAACCCAGTATCCCTCCCTTCCTTTTGTCTTTAGACTTTAGAAAACACCAAGTTTCAAGGATATGTTTCTCAAGATTCTTAAGAGTTTTCTGTGGCTCAAAACAGCCATCACTTAGGATTTTGCCCAGATTGTTGTTTGCCATAGAGTTTCAGGATAATCTGATCATTCTGTCTTTCTCTTTCAAGATGTGAAAAGGAATTTACTTCACTGGTTGACATACAAGGGAGAAAGCAGAGTACCACAGAAGAGATAGGACCCCTAAGTACCAACATACATCCTTTCTGCTCAGTTCTCAGACAGGAGGGTGATGTATGAGGCACCTGCTAAGGCACCTACTGGGGCACTGTATGTCAAGCCCATATTCCTTAGACTGCCTCCACAGCCCACCCAAGCAAAAAGTACCTGTTTTGAACTTTCACTGTGGGTTTTACTGTCAAGTTCTGATGTAGCTGAAGATGATGGCATGATTTGGTTGCTTCCATTGGTCTCCTTTAAGAAATATTAACACAAATGGAAGTTAGTACATAAGCAACAATTAACTACTAGGTTACTTAACCATCTCTTGCCTCCTTAGGATGTAGCCATGGATTAATCTACAGAAGTCCCCCAAAACTTACATTATGACCCATCTCAAAGGTGTCATGGGTATCATAGACTTTTGAGAGTACCCAGCCTGAAGCAGAGGCTGGATAGCAGCACCCAGATTACCCCAGGAATCTGAGCTTATGCCTCTCAGTTTCTTTTTTTTTTTTTTTTTTTTTTTTTTTGGTTATTCGAGACAGGGTTTCTCTGTGTAGCTTTGCGCCTGTCCTGGAACTCACTTGGTAGCCCAGGCTGGCCTCGAACTCACAGAAATCCGCCTGGCTCTGCCTCCCGAGTGCTGGGATTAAAGGCGTGCGCCACCACCGCCCGGCGCCTCTCAGTTTCTTAATGGAATGAATTCTTTAGAAACTCCTCTCCTCTCCTTATTACCTGCGGGGAAACTGCATAATCAAGGGCATAGCACAGGAAGGGTTCATGCACACGATTGGTTTTCCCTTAATAGATGCTGATATCTTCCTTTCCTCCCTTCTGCTCTAGTTTCTCTTCGCAGACACTTAACTATAACTCTAACATGTTTAGATACATTTTCACCCTTTACTGGGAAAAACTGTACGGCTGATTCCTTTGCAGCCCACAGGTATGGCTTAGTACAGTGTACTAGTAGGAAGATTACTATTGGTAGTCATGGAAGGTTAAAAGATGCTGATTCAGTTACAAAAGTGTCACTGGCAAAACAGTTCTCCTTAAAATCTGAAATCCTAGACGTTTATCAATCTTGCTTTCATACAAATTGAAGGTAAAATTAAAAAGAAAAGATGTAGCCGGGCGGTGGTGGCGCACGCCTTTAATCCCAGCACTCGGGAGGCAGAGCCAGGCGGATCTCTGTGAGTTCGAGGCCAGCCTGGGCTACCAAGTGAGTCCCAGGAAAGGCGCAAAGCTACACAGAGAAACCCTGTCTCGAAAAACCAAAAAAAAAAAAAAGAAAAGATGTAACACCTATGGTTTGAGAAGCAGAAAATAGTTAGGCAAAAGTATTTTAGGAAATGGCTCATTACTTGAGAGCATGCACAAGACAAAGGAATTGGTGAGTTCTGTCTTTATTACTATGGGTTACAGAGGTTCTCAGTGGCAGGTGAAATTAGAAGTGAGGTGTCTGGACACCTATGTTGAATCTTTTCCCTCTAGGTTAGCTGCACTACATAACAAACAGTGACCCACTAAATAACAGTGAGTAATATAGTTATATTACTATATATTATATATACTATATATAGTAATATGTAGTTATATTACTATATATTATATATACTACATATATATAGTAATATATAGAATAATAATAGTTCAAATGAAAAACCCTCCTTTCTGGAACTCTCTGATGCAGCTCAGGTTCCTTGGTACAAACTGAAGTTAACTTGTCTCTCCATCAGGATAGCAAGGGCTGTGCCACCCTTTTTTCTGCCTTTATAAATCCTCCAGGAGCTGTTACAAAGTGGCTATTGCCTGGATGACTGTGGAGAGCTTGTATGTGCAGCTGCATTAGGAGACTGAGATGTCTGAAAACAGCAAGGCTGCTTCCAGCTCAGCTATTTGTTGTTACACAACAAATCATCCTCAAATTTTGGGCTTGAAACAACAAAAATGTTTTATTTCTCACTATTCTGTGGGTTTACTGTATTTGGTTTGGGAGATGGTGGAGGATCAACTCCACGTGGTCTAGTATGAGATGATACATATGGCTGCATCCCACTGACACCTGATGGGAGCTGAAACATCTAGATGACTTTTCGTCCTCCGGATCATCCCTTCCCCTGGTCTCTCAGCACCAGGGGTGTAAAAACCCTGCTCAAATCCCTGATGCTCAGAAGAGTGAGAAACAATAACTTGCTGGAGTGGTTTGCTTGCAGCAATAAATGAGACAAGTTTCTATTTCCATCTCCTTTTTTCTGATACCTTTCTGATCTCCTTCTTTTCTTACCCTACTTATTCCATCTTTGGAAAATGTGTTATGAGCATCTCCAATACTATGTTTACAAAAGACCTAGCTTCAATTCTGTCTACCATAATGGTTTGACTTACAGACCATAGACCAGTGAGTTTTTTTTTTTGTTTGTTTGTTTTTGTTTTGTTGTTGTTGTTGTTTAAGCAGCAGAATAGGGTCTGGTTAGCTCATTGGGATCATGACACAGGAAATAGTGAGCAGGCACATGTTGCCTTTCTGTAGTGTCGACAGATCTTACCATACTGCTCTGCAGTAATTCCAAGGTTTTCTTGTGTTCATCCACAGTTTTCTGTATCGCCTCCACAGCAAGATGGACACTATTTAAAGTATTGCCAATGGAAGCTACGCTCTGAATAGAAACAATGTAGGAATATCAGTTTTCCCCTTTAAGAGCTTTACTAGGTATAACTGACATGCAATACATGCACATATTCAAAATGCATAATAAATCTGTGAAACTATTTCCATAATAGAAGCAATAGACATTACCCCCACCCCAAATTTCTTCATGCCTCTCTGTAACTTCCCAAGACAACCATTTTCACTTTCTGTCACTATATATTAGTTTGCATTTTCTAGAACTTTACATAAAGGGAACCAATGAATATATACCTTCTAAAACCTTTTTTTAGTGTATCTTCTTTTACTAAGTGCAATCAAGATTCATTTATGTCTAAGCTGCTCAGCATGTTACATGCCATTATAGGGTTTTTATCAACTTGTTTATTCACCATTGAATGGACAGTTAGATTTTCAGTATTGACTATTACAAATAAAGCTGCTATAAACATTCATGTGGAAGTCTACATGTGGACTTGTGCCTTCATCTCCCTTCATACTTTCTCATTATCACAATACACAGATGAACAGCTGGCCATATGGCAGATCTTGTAAAAAACTTACACACTATTTTCTAAAATGGTTGTGCCGTTTTACAGTCCCATTAATAGTGTTTAAGAGGGTTCCTACTACTTCATACATTCACAAGTACAGGTGCTGTTAATTTATACAATTTGCCCATTCTAATGGCAGTGTAATGGTATGCTGTGATTTTAATTTACACTAAAGCACTAGCTAAATATTGATCAGTATTTTAATTATTTCAACTGTATTCAAACTATGAATTCTATGTAACTTATACTGAAACAATTAGCAAAAAACATAAACATTCATTCTTTCTATGAATAGTTTCCCATATCTATAAAAATCAAGCTATTTTCTCAATTAAAGAAAACCACAATCTTTCCTAAATAAAATATATTTTCTTAAAAAAATTATTTATAACAGTCATATACTGAAAAATAAATAAATAAAAGAATAAATCTGGGACTCACAGATAATACGCCTACCCCTAAGAAGTTATTATTTGGTGGGCTTTATCCTTTTATTAAGACATACTGACAATTTACAGTGTGACATCAGTATTTTTAACCAAAGTTATTTTATTATTTTGAGACAGTCTCATGTAGTCCAGGTTGCCATATAGCTAAGGATGACTTTGAACTTCTGATCTTTACCCCATAGTTAAACAGCAGGCCAGCAGACGGCCAGTCAAGGCTATTGGCTGTCAACAGTCAGGAGTATTAAGTGATGACTTTTGAGCAAAATTGGATGAGTATGATTTTTAGCTCTAGGAAACCCAGCTGGCAGTAGAATTCTGTCAGCAATGAGTGTACTTAGGCAACTACTTATTTTGCTCATATTAGTCCTAAAGAACCCAAGTATACAAAGGGAACAATTCAGAAGTCCTTTTTAAAAAATTAAGAAATTATGCATATTTGTATGAGTGTATATGTGGGTATGTGCATGTGAATGCAAGTATCCATGGAGGCCAAAAGATGTTATTGCATCCCCTGGAGCCAGAGTTACAGGAACCAAACTCCAGTCCTTGGCAAGAACAGTATGTGCTCTTAACCAATGATCCATCTCTTCAGTTTCCATTAATTACTTAAAAAAAAAAAATCCAAAAGAATGTTATTATTTGGTGGGTTTTATCTTTTTATTAAGACATACTGACAATTTACAGTGTGATATCAGTATTTTTAACCAAAGTTATTTTATTATTTTGAGGCAGTCTCATGTAGTCCAGGTTGCCATATAGCTAAGGATGACTCTGAACTTCTGATCTTCCTGCCTCTACCATCCACATGCTAGGATTATAGGCCTACATCACCACAGCCAGTTTTATGCGGCTTTGTGCATGCTAGGCAAGCACTCCACCAGAGAGCTGCATCCCCAGTCTCCAAAGCAATGTTTAAAAACTACAATGAAAAAAGAATTCAAGGGAACAGGAGATGATAACGTTTTCAATATTTAAAAAATTACATGGCATAAATGAAAGCCAGCTAGGTTTTGGAGATTAACTACCATTTCAAAACTGCATCATCATTTGCAATAAATTTGCCCAGCAGGATTTGCAAAGAGATAACATTTGGGGTAGGATCTAAGTTTGGGGTAGAATCTATGTAAGCACTGTTGTTGCAAAAAGCCACCATACACTGAAAGCCACCTACTGTTAGAGAATCCTCACTGGCTGGCTGGCTGAGCCCGTGAGGACACAGGAAGATAGTGAGCTCTTGTTTGGGGGTTGTTTTTTAGGAAAGCAGCTGACAGATCATGTAAATCCTAGAATGAAACTCTGAAACTAGTATTCCTACCAACTGCAGAGTGCCTGGTACACATTGGAGGAAGCTCCACAAGTGCTTATTGAATTAATGAGAGCAAGAACAAGCCGGTTTCCTTTTCTAACGTAAGACTGCCAAGTTGCTTCTGTAGGGCTACAGAGGCCTGCCTTTTCCTACTTGATCCTTGGGAACAAAGGCAAGAATCCACTTCATTAAAGTTGCCTCAACCTTTTTAATTTAAATTTTGAGAGCAGACAACCATACTGGACAAGTAGCAAAATACAGGGACTGAGCACATAATGCTGTGGTTGTAAAACATCAAGTTTTATATTTGTTTGTGGTTTAGCAATTGCTCACTTTGTGTAACAATTTTGATATTTATGGACAGAGCATGGCGTATAATTGAATCAAACATCACAGGCTAACTTTTAAAAGTCAAAGATCCGCCGGGCGGTGGTGGCGCACGCCTTTAATCCCAGCACTCGGGAGGCAGAGCCAGGCGGATCTCTGTGAGTTCGAGGCCAGCCTGGGCTACCAAGTGAGTTCCAGGACAGGCGCAAAGCTACACAAAGAAACCCTGTCTCGAAAAACCAAAAAAAAAAAAAAAAAAAAAAAAAAAAAAAAAAAAAGTCAAAGATCCTAGATTTAAAATTCACTGTGCAAGGGGCTCTGACTCCTAAAGTCTTTCTTTTATTTTTTGTTATGGGGCAATGCTCTCTGCATTCGATCAGAAACCTTGTTTTCCCTTTCAATCCTTTTTCACTCTCCCCATCCCACTCTAGGCACTCCCGAGTCTCATCCTTCTGGCTTCTATTTGTCTGCTGTTAACACTCCAGGGGTCAAATAAATGGAAATTACGAACTGCTGTTTGCACAGGCCTTGAGGTCTATGGTGTACACACAAAAAATTGTTTAGGACTTATAGACACCTTTAGAAAATAATACCAAATTGTTCCCAAAGTAATTTTTTTTCAGTTTATACCCGACAGTGTTTAAAAATACCCTTTGTCACACAACTGCTTCTTAATTTTTAATTTCTGCATTTCATCTTAGATTATCTCGAAACAGCAAAACAAAACAAACAATTCAACTCCTTTCCAATCATGGAAAAGTAGAGGTTTACAGCAACTCTCGTCCACAACTGGTCTGGGCTCATGAAGACAGTGTGATGACAAACTGAAAAGTAAACTGCTCCCTGCTAACACAGTGGTCCCAGCAGAGCAACTCTGGAACACAGACAGACAAATGAAAAACTGTATGAACCATAAAGTAACCTGCTGAAAATTAAAGGCCCAACTGTCAAGGCTGTTTTGAACTCCACAGAACACAATGGTAGACTTCACACTGCTCTTTTGGAGCAACTTATTTCAAATGCTAGGTTTTCAAAGTGAACTCTTCAGAATTCCAGCATTAGGGTAACCACAGTGCCCAAACATAACACTTACCTTCTGAAGTCCCTCTACAGTGCTAGGCAGGCTAAGTAAATCTGCGGCAGACTTGACATTGGCTTTCAGGTGGTTTACTGCAGAACTCAACAGAGAAATCTGAAAAAGATTAATACACAAAGACAACAGAATTTGTCGGGTATGTGCTTCCTTCACAAGCTCTATAGCTCACAATGTCAAGGTACTGTCAACTTTCAGGAGCAGAAGAACTGCAGTGTTTTGGAAGAGCTGAGAATCAGGAAGCAGCAATAAGCCCCCTCTTTCTCTACCCAGTTTAAACTAATGCCAAAGATGCAGAGCCAAGCGTCATTCTTTACCTTAGTCCTAGCAGCTGCACGGCCCTAAACTCTTAAATTACTCAAAAGATGCAGTGATTACTACACAATCCTTCAATAGTTGAACAGGAAAAAACTGATGATCAAGGACCACTTCAAAACTTCACTTTGGTAAAATAGAAGACCTATTTAACTGAACTTTTGTTCCTGTCCGAGTGGGAACATATATTATAAAGTAAAAGCCCATCATCACAAAATATAGTCCACAGGAACTGTATCCTGACAACTTGAACAGCACTTTCAACTACTCAGGGACTTGGTTTTGGTTTAATAATGTGATTAATATTTCAAACTCAATAGCTCAACCAAAGCATTACTTTGTACCCTGAAGGAGCTCAATAAATACCCACTGACTCACTGAAGGATGCAATGAATGTATTAAAACAGGAATTGAATCAAAATAAAATGTGGCTTCTTTTCTACTACTTTGGGGTAGGATTTAAGTAGCTGGACTCCTATCTGAACAGGGGACTGGGGGAACCTGTGTAACATGCAATTTCAGGCTCTGAGTTCACATTCTAACAAGTCCTACAGTGTGACTCAAAATACTCTTCAAAGAGTCTTGGTGCCAGACTGCTTTCTTATTCGAAATGTTAGGATGAGAATAAAGGTTTACCAATAATTGCAACAAGAGTGGCCTCATAAACACCCGATTTTCTGGGCTCTTGCTACAGGCCAAACTGACAGGCACCAGAGAATGTGAGACACAGCGGGACCGGATTCCTTTTCATTCCTTCAACAAGTATTTGGCATTTTCTTTGTGCTGACACCTTAGCTGCAACCCTAGGGATTTAGCCAGAACATTCTGCTAAGCTGCTTCACAATTCCTGGCATACAGAGAGTGTGAGATAATGAAGGGTTGTTGTATTAAGCCGGTAAGTTTGGAGATCCAATGTAACCCAGCAACAGATGATTAGTATCGGTTACAAGAATTCAATGACAATGTGACTAAGCTCAGCACAGTACCCAGCACACACGACCAAATCAGTGGCAGTTCTTCAGCAGTGAGACCGAATGAGTACTTACACACGCATCCGCCCAAGTGTTCTCAAACACAGAGATCACTCACTAATGTTCTACCTCTATCCATTTCAAAATAAAAAGATGAGACACCTCATCCCACACTGAGAAATACTGTAGGAAGCTATAAACCTCATATAGTAGCAATTATATCAGGAAGGTTTTTGTTTTTTGCCATTCCTTTAAGAAGCTATGGATAATACTGAGGCTTCAAAGAACATAAGGAAACAGGCTTATTGTTCATGGGAATGTGAACTGGAAAAGGATTGTTTTGAAGGAACAGCCCTTTAAACCTGAAATGTTTATATCCTTTGTTCAGCAACTTCATTTACAGAAACCCATCCTATAGATTACTTGCTCACAGGCACAAAGAAATATGCACAACAAGTCTTTTTTATTTGTACCAGCAAAACACTAGAATAACTTAAATGCCTATCACTAGATGTGTAGATATAGTCAGTGAACAAAGGACGCTGTAGTACACCACATATTGAATATCTCCACTTATTCACATACACACTTGGTGTAACCCATACGCTGATACATATTAAAAACTATGGTAGTTTTACAAATACATAGAGGTGCAGACAGTATTACTGACATGAGACAACTATGTACACGTGTGAAGGGAAGGGACTTCTCTCCCAAGTATGTTTTACAATTATTCTATATGCCCTACTATGTAGTATCTTTCAGACACTAGTGAATAAACTACTTTCAATGACAACTGGCCAGATCCTCAAGGGATAACACATTGCTCAGGGTGATCTGGGCAGAAACTATTCTGTCCAACATCTTGAGGCTATGGCAGAGCTAGTCCGAAGTATCTTAGGAACATTATGGTCTCAGAGAAGGCTAGTGTGGCTGCTGGAAGCTGCCATTTCACTTAGAACCAGAGAAGTAATAAAAGCCAATACAGTGGGCGGTGGTGGTACACACCCTTAATCCTAGCGCTCGGGAGGCAGAGCCAGGTGGATCTCTGTGAGTCCGAGGCCAGCCTGGGCTACAGAGTGAATTCCAGGAAAGGCGCAAAGATACACAGAGAAACCCTGTCTCGAAAAACAAAACAAAACCAAAAAAAAAAAAAAAAAAAGAAAAGCCAATACAGGAGGACTAGGTTAGGTCTTCTCTGTGTGTCACAAACATGGTAGATCTAGATTCTAGAGTGTCAGCTGCATCCCTGACAGAGTGTGCTCTGGAGAGCTGACCGTCAACTCTGTAGTTGCGGATCACACAAATGGTGTTTTTCTCATTTAAAGGACCTGGATCACAAACTGGTCACCAGCTCAGTTACACACCCCACACCTCCCCTCTTCAGTAGAGCCAAACTGTGTGGGAAACTACAGTAAATGTACATGTATAACGGGACTGGAGAGACAAGGGGGTACTCTCCCATTATCTCTGACCTCAAACAGATACATTCTAGAATGTGAGATTTGATTCAAGCATTACAGAACTTATCAACAAACATCACAGTTTACAATCTGAAGACACTAAAAACTGAGTTCAATAAAAGCCACTAAGGAAAAAAAAATCACATTCTAGCCAAAAGATGAGTTATGACTTCTATGCATATCATATGATTTTTTTTAAAATCAGCAAAAGTAAAAATAGCCACTGTAGACTATTTGCTTAATATAAATTTTATACTTCAAAAGCAGAAATGCTGTTTTTTTCTTTAGGGTTGATCTTAATGTTCTTTAAACAGTGAGGAAAAAGTTGAGAAAACAGATAATCACAAATCATGAATGATTATGAGTAGGAACTCCCTACATAGCCCTGACTGTCCCAGAACTCATTATGTAGATTAGGTTGGCCTTAAACTCAAGAGATTCTCTTGCCTCTATCTCCAAAGTGTTGGAATTAAAGATGTGCACCTGGCCCTACTTAATCCTACAAAAATGGAAGGAAAACAGGCTCCCAAGACTTAAGTATTTCAATGCTAGACTGCTACACAGCTGTGACCTTGGGTAAGCTCTTTTACCTTTTTTGAGTCTCAATTTTCGTGTCTTCCCCTCCCCCCCTACAGGGTTTCTCCGTGTAACAGCGCTGGCTGTCCTGGAACTCACTCTGTAGACCAGGTTGGCCTCAAACTCAGAGATCCGCCTGCCTCTGCCTCCTGAGTTCTGGGATTAAAGGCATGCATCACCACCGCCCAGCAAATCTCAATTTTCTTATCTGCAAACTGGGGTTAACACTTCTTACTTCTTGTGACTCAGGACACAGAGATCATACATGCAGTACAGTCAACAGAGTGGCCTGCACAAAGGAAACATTTAATGTATAACGTTATTACCATCACCACTCATTTTCAGGCTGAGTACAGTGTACAATCTCCTAATGCAATTAGATGCATATGCAAATGACCATCATACAAGTGCTTAAAAGAGAGCAGCAGGGAACTAGGAAGGGCACCTAAGGTCCCCGACAACAATGCTTGTTGATTTACTTTATCTCTGGCTTCTTTCCGTGCCCAACTAGGGCTATAAGGAAGGACTAAAATTTCCTCAATACACAGTCTTTTCACTTATCGATTCTTTTACAAATGCAATTCATTCTTGTTAGCAGGTAGTTATCTTCTGAAAAGCTACAGCAAATGCGGAATTAGTGAGTGCTACACCACTGTTCCTAGGTGTGGGGGCTAGGTTCCTGTGAGCCCTTTGGTCATGTTTTCAGTAACTTATCAATACAATATATAACCTGTTTTACACGTGTTCCTGTTTAAACATCTCATTTAACGATATTGCTGACTTATTAACGCTGAACACACAGCCAACAGCACTGAAAGTGATGCCTGAAGGAAGCCTACCTAACAGTGAAATCAACAACAAAGGGCACAAAAATGTGAAAAGTGACATGAAATATACCACAGAGCCCAGCTTGTTGACAACATGAGAAGGGGACAAGAGAGCAGGTGCTGTCTTGCTCTACTCCAGCTGTCAGTGTCTGTGGGTAACTCAGTTATTGCTGCCATCCCTACACCAGTGGATGACTGAAAAGGCCTCATTCTTACAGACTTTGAGGTTACAAATAGACTTTAGCAAGTAGATAAAATTATGAGAATCCGCTGTACCTTCCTACTGAGTGTAACCTCTCTTTCTCCACCTGGTCCGTTTCCCCTTCAGGACTTAGCCCAATGTTTCTGGGAAAGCTGATCCCAGTCTGGGCTGGCTATTCATTTAAATAAGCATTTGAACCATATACTTCATGTCAGGCTGTTTACCTTCCTATCTTCTGTTTGTCCATGAGATCACTGGGTAAGGAATTGCATCTTTTTTTATTCTAAGTCTATTATAGTTCGGATGTTGATGCTCCCCTAACAGTTTCATTCAAAATCTCCAATGTGGTGGCAGTTAAGTGGTGGGGCTCTTCAGGCATGCTAGGGGAGGGCTCTACCCTCATCAACAGCCCAATGACACTACTTTGCCCCTTCTGCTAATGAGATATAACAATAAGGCACCATGCATGAAGCAGACAATGAGCCTTCACCAGAGACCAAATCTGCTGGCACCCTGATCCTGGACTCTTGGACCTCCAGAACTCTAAGTAATAAATTCCTATTGTTTATAAGCTACCTAGTCTAAAGCATTTTGTTAGAGCAGTCTGAATAGACTAAGATAGAGTCAAAGGCTTAACTCCATAAAAGCAGCTCTGTAAACATTTATTCTCCACAAAAAGGGAGGCCCTTATAACCGTCAAGAAGGAGTGGGCATAATACCTGAGGTTTCATGAATAGAACAGAAGTGTAAATGAAGTTTCACGTACTAGCTTAAAGATTCTCAAAGTAAAGTTGAATTTTAACTTCCCCAACCAGATGGCCTTCTTTTCCCAGCCTAAATTAACCTAAGCTTACTCGGTAGTAGGAATAAACCTCGTTAAGTGACAGAATACATTTTCTTGTTGTTTAAGCCACTTTAAATTGTTTAAAAATGCCACTAGAAGCACCTGAATTGACAATTACCATTAGATATAGAAACATGATTAAATGTTATTTTTACTATTCCTATTTTGCCTCAGGACAAATGCTGCTTACTTGAATAGAGCATCAGATGTATAGCGTTAACTTTAGAAAACCACCCAGACTGCTATGCTCCCTGAGAAAACAACATTCAGCTTTACTTTACCCCATCCATCCTTCTGGGTCGATGCTAGCCGAGAACTCTATCTAGCATCTCGCAAAGCATGGCGCTACTCATCTGCAAAGAGTTTCGGTCTAACCTGCTCCAGTTTCACACACAAAGCCCTAGGACTTCTTACACCACACCAAGCACCAGCTTTCTCCTTGAGCAGTCCTAGAATGCCATGTATGAGGAGGAAATGGGAAATAGACAGTTGATGTTTATCTTTCCATGCAAAGCAACTTTATCCTGTCTGAGAATGGTTGACTCTATGTTACCAACTGGAACCCACGGACTGCCCAGGGGAAATGTTCATTCTCTCAGAGTTTCAGTGCATCTTGCACCTGATGTCATCTCTGTCCATAGTGCTCATTTGCTATGTGAATGTAGGGCCACAGTTGGTTCTATTCTTTGTGTTTGAAAGGAATGAATATCTGCTTTTCTTTAATTACTGAGAACCTAAGAATAAATGATAACTAGTAAATACTAGTTGCCATCACCCATCCATTATTTCCTGTGTGTTAAAAATAAAATAAAATAGAACCAGGGTGGTGGCTCATATACTCTTAGCACTCAGGCCAGCATGGGATACATAATGAAACTCTGTCTCAAAACCAAAACCAAAATAAAACACCCTCCCCACTCCAATAGGAATGAATAGGAAATACATTGCCATAAGACACTGACCATTTTTCAGGTGAGCCATTACTTTCAGAAAATTTCATTTTAGCTACTTATGGTGCCTTAGTGTACTTCCTGTGGCCACTGCTAAATACCATAGAGTGGGTGACTTATTTAGCTCATTTAAGAACACGTGACTGCATCTGATGAGGATTTTTTTGCTTCATCATAACACAGTAGAGGGTATCACATGTGTGTGATAAGAGTTAACAAGTGTGTCAGCACAGGTTTCTCTTTCTCTTCAAGTAGCATTTTGGGGTAAATGCTAATTAATCATGAAAGGCTCCACTTCCATATACACCTGACATGTGAACTGGGACACACATTCAAACCACACACAGCATATTGTCATGCATGTTTACTGGGTAATGCAGACATTCTTACTGTGGGTAAGAATGCCACTTTCAGTCTTAAACACTAAACTATCCTACACGCAAAATGGGGCTGAAAGGTTTAACTCTATAAATAGTTACAAGCCTTTTCTTCTAACAGGGCTTCATACAGGCTCATTTTAGTGCTCTGTGGACTCCATCCACCCTGAAGAGAATGTTCTTTTAATCCCAACAAAGATGACAAACCTAATTTTAAGTATTTTATATGTGTATCATTCATTTGGTACTTGATTTTTCTTCTCAACGACCATATCTTGAGCCGGGCGGTGGTGGCGCACGCCTTTAATCCCAGCACTTGGGAGGCAGAGCCAGGCGATTTCTGTGAGTTCGAAGCCAGCCTGGTCTACAGAGCGATATCCAGGACAGGCACCAAAACAATAGAGAAACCATGTCTTGAAAAAAAAAAGACCATATCTTTCCCCAACTGAATTGAAAACAACAACAACAAAAGGCCAAACTAAAACGGCAACAAAAAAGTCAACCCACAACTCAGACCTGAGAATGGGATGTAGACTCTTTACACCTGTGAGAATCTTGGTCAACATCTTTAGACTAAACACCATCTCTCTGGTAGATTCCTCCTTTTGGAAGCAATTCCTACTGAGCTCTGCACAACTTTGAGGCTAAACAAGTTTGTCTAGACCTGCTTGTCTGACTCTACCACCTGCTCCTAAGCTATTCCAGTTGACCATGAACTGTGTGGCTGTTCTAGATCTGACTTCCCACCTACAACACTACACTCCAGTGCTAAATCTCTAAGTGTGTAAAGTCTCTGAAACGAAACAAAACTCATCTACTAACAGTAGCCTTTCCCCTTTCCTTAGGAATTAGATGGCATTCCTTAGTTGATACCTATACTACGCTATAGAAAAAGCTGGCTCAAGTATTTATAACTTCCTCTATAATGCTCTACCTCTGAGGAACTCTGTGCATGCGCAGAAAGGGCTAACATTTTAAATACTTGGTAAATGCATTTAACATGTTTGGATCACAGCAGAAAACTCCAATTTAAAGACAAAACCTGAATTTATAAATGTATATGAAATGCCAACCAACCAACGTAAATTTGTTTCCACAGCTTACACAGGAATAAAGTCACACTTTTGCTACCTGCTTATTCATTTCTGTGATGTTGATCCAGACTCGGCTCAAGCCCAGCTCTCCAGATTCAATCTTCTCAAGTTGTTTTTGTTTGCTGAGAAGTTCATCATTAAGTTTGGGGATTTCCTGGAATGAGCTTTTCTGATTAGATTCCACTGAAAGAAAAACAAGGACAATTATAAATAAACATCACATTCCCTCTGGTCTCAAGATGGGGGAAAAAGGGATCACAGGGTAGGAAAGAAGAGAGATTAGTGGGATTAGTGAATGTAAATTATGGGATGACGACTTAATTCAGTTACCTAACTACACTGAGAAAAGAAAGGGAAGGCAGGGCTACACTACTGTTTGTGTAAACGTGCGTCTTTAACACCTTTAACACTGAACCTTGAGTTGGGTGACACAGCTCAATGACAGAACTCTTGTTCTGCATCTGCAAGGCACTGGGTTCTATCCCCAGGACCACAAAACAAGGACAATGAAGATAGGTGACTAAAAGCTGTAACAAAAACCATGAGCAGAAAGGGTTAGATGATTTCACCTCTATACCTTACTATTATTTTGAGTAAATTAATCAATTTCCTTTGAGATCAGTCTCTTTATCTGGAATACTGTGCAAGATTTACTTCCCAAGAGTGTTAGAATGAAGGAGTCTCTGAGCCCAGAGCCTATTTATCAGTAGGTGATAAATAAATGTTAAGTCTGACCAGTTTCCAGATTAGTCAGTTAAGACTTACTACTCCTACCCCATGAATGCCCAAGGTGCCATTACAAACTACATCTCTAAATGTTGATCTTCTTTTACTTTAAGTTGGCTGATTGTGAGGTGGTATTCAAACACTGACATGAGGGCTAAGATTTTTATTTTATTTCATAAATAGCAGTGTTTTCTTCAACTAACCCAGGAGCTCAAGATGAAGAGGGAGATAAAATTGTTATGTGAAATGCAGGGGGACATTAGGACTCTGAAACAACAATTCCTGTGTGGTTAAGGGATTCGAAGCCTGAGGCAGAGGCCGGAAGTGCGCTCTCTTCTTTCTTTAAAAAGCATTTTTCCTCTTAATGGAAAATAAAATATTGATAATGGCTGTTCCTCCAGAATAAACCTACATCATTTTTCTTCAGGTCACAGACTTCCTGATTAGTTACTATATATATATTTAAAACCAAAAACTGGCATACAGGGCCAATATAAAATAGTTCACTAAAATGAGAGCTCCATGACTTGGTTTTGTCCATTTCTGTATGGTCTGCACTCAGAATATAATTTTAGGCACTCAGTAAATATTTGTTACCTAAATAAGCCTGGTCTTTGTTGACTTCCCAACCACATTTCTCAGTACTTAACCTCCTTTTCAATCCAACAAAGAAAACTCAGAAAGTAAAAACCAGACAGCAAGCACACAACAACAAAGTCCCCATGGAAACCGAGGGCAGTGGTAATATCCCTTTAAGCAAGCCCACTATGGAACAACTCAGAATAATGAACTTAGGTATTTTCATTTATTTTTTAGAAGTAGCTGCCAAAGGATTGCATTCTAAATAACAGACTTCCCTAAGTGCTTTTAGTGTAGCATTTGATTTACACATGGTTTGCAGAATACATCCATCTTAGGCAATAAGAACATTTCATTACTCATTCTAACCAATGCAGCTCCGTGTCACTGAATTGCTTATACAGTTTCAGCTGGGTTGTAAAGAAAAGCCCATCCCACGAATGCCTTCCATACTCAGGTGGTCAAACGCCCTCAGGAGGGAGGGAGGGTCTCTCTTTCCTAAAGTCTATATGCAATAAATAGGACTTAGAGGTGGAAGAAGAAGTAAGACAAAGACATAAACAATCCGAGTTACAACTATTAACTAACGAACACGTAAAGCTGACAAGCCCCGAGGACACTCTGGATCCTGAGGAGTCTATGAGCCAAGAGGGGATCATAATCATTATCCGATGTGGGTTTTTTAGGAGAGACAATCCAAGTTGAGGCACTGTTGTTACATAAATGGAAGTATGGCAAACAAACAACTTATGATTACTTATTCATGTTCTTTCATTATGGAAAGCAACTCATTTAAAATTTAATATGTGGAATCTCAAAAGAATTTACCTAGTTCTTATTTTTTCATTTTTATGATTAGGAAATGGAAATCTCTACATACATCCTTCAAACACAACATACAGAATGTCAATAGTAATGTTTTGTATTCATACAATACCGTTATAATTTGCAATAAATTTTTATGTAATTATCATCAAATGATGTGTAACTGAGCCTCTACTGTGTGCCAGCTCTGTACTTTACACTATCTTATACAAAAGACCCTTAGTTCTCAGTCTGGAGGTGAAGGGAGGATTACTATAAATGTTGACAGGTGTGATAACAGAGTAATGACCAACGTGCTTTGGTGGCAAAAATACATCTTCATGTGTCATGGGTAAGAAAATAGAGGTTCAGAAAGAATATGTGATTGTTCTAATTTTATAGTGAGTAATGAGAAGCAAACAGTCAAACCACATGCTCACAGGACCACAATACTTTTTTTGGTATGCCCAAGATGTCAGGGACACATCTTTGTGACTCTATTCACACAAAAGCATCTAACATTTTGTACAAAAGATCAAGCCACTAGTTTCCCTGTATGACCAGAAAAGGAAATGTCTGACTTATAAGTACTTTCTTTCTCTCCCAAATTCGTTTCCTTTTCTCTAGTGTTTCATTGTTGACAGAGAGGAAGTATTGGAGATAGAATTTTGCTTTGAATAACTGTGGAAGTCTTTTGAAATAACTGTTTCTGGAAAAAGAAATACTGAATTAAGTTTCAAGGCCAGGGGCTGGGGAGATAGTTCAGTGGCTAAGAGCACTGGCTGCTCTTCCAGAAGACCTGGTTTAGTTCCTAGCACCTACCTGCAAACTCACAACAGTCTGTAACTCCAGATCCAGGGGATACCCTCTTCTGGCCTCTATGGGTACTGCATATATGTGGTGCACAGACATATGCAGGCAAAATATCCACACATAAATATACAGAACTTAAAGAAAAAAAATGTTTCAAGGCCAGCCAGTCTTTTAACTCAAGGATCAAGTTACTCCTTGACTGCAAAGAAAAAGTAAGCCATCTACTTTGATTTCTATTTCAGGTACTTCTTCAACACTTTTGTTCTTCATAGGTTCCTTGGAAGATTGATTGAAATAAAGAACAAGGGGCTCTGACTTCTCAAAAGGCATTAAAATCAAGCAAGCAAGTGGTCTTATCTGAGTCAGTGAACTCCACTGTTTTGTTGACTTAAGAAGAAAAAAGAATTAACTTACTAACATGTGTTTAAAGTAGAAGCATAATTTTAAAAATATGATTGTTTAAACATAGTAAAATTATTCCATTTAGTTAAAATAACTGTTATTTCCTTAAAAAAAAAAAACAAACAAAACTAATGAGTGATGGCGCATGCCTTTAATCCCAGCACTCAGGAGGCAGAGCCAGGCACATCTCTGAGTTCGAGGCCAGCCTGGTCTACAGAGTGAGTTCCAGGACAGCCAGGGCTACACAGAGAAACCCTGCCTCAAAAAACCAAAACAAATTAAAAAAAAAAAAAAACCACACACACACACACACACACACACACACACACACACACTAGTGAGCAATCAGTCATAACAGTCCAGCTTATAGCATGAGTATGCCAGACCCCAGTCTCCCTCCCTCAGGAAGTCATTGCTTGTCTTTTCTTTTTTTCTCTTTCGTGTGTGTGTGTGTGTGTGTGTGTGTGTGTGTGTGTGTGTGTGTGTGTGTAAGAGTACAACTCACAAGTGTGGTTCTCTCCTTCTACCACAGAGGCTCCAGAGATTGAGCTAGGTCATCAGGCTTGTTGATAAGCACCCTGACCCACTAAGCAATCTCAGTGACTAATGGCATTTCTATTGTGGCAAATCAAAGCCAACAAAACAACCAGATTGACAAATTCAAACCTGCTTTACTCAGCTGGCTGACAAATGTAGTTTGGGCTCCAGGAAAATCTTCCTCAATGATGGGAAGCTGACCCCTAACAGTCCAGGTGTATGGAGTCGCATCTCCTGAATATACTATTTTTAGGGACTGGCATTAACAAATGCTTGACAAATATTTATCGACTGACTGTCAGGCCTACTATATGTCTCACATTTCCAAACAAAGAGATCCATGGCAAGCCCAGCTAAGGCATAAATTATCTTGGTATCCTTTAAATACAGGCACAGAATAGCTGCATAAAGGGATCTCTAGAGGGCAGAAGTGAGCAGCACATAAAACGTATAAACATATAATCATTGTATGTGATCAAAACAAGGTGTGGCACAAGTCTAGGAAGCTCAACTAATTATGGAGGGTTGATGGGACAGAAAGGTGTGTTCAGTAGTCACATACAGTTCAACACTGCTTCCAAGTTATGATTATTATTTACATACAAAGAAAATACAGGCTTAAAAATATCTGCAATATTGCAAAAACAAGAATTACACACGAGAAACTCTACAGGATGTACATTATTTTTTTGTGCTGTACTTTGATTCAACCATATAGGTCAGGATGATTCTGGCAAAGAATTGTGGGCTTAGCCAATGCCACCCCTGAACCAGAAATTCAAAAGAAAACCAAAGTGAATATTAAAACATTTTAAAAGCATCATCACTAGAGACACCAACAACACTCTGGGGAGTAGCTGTCCCTAGGTCAAGTGCAAAGCTTGAGTTACTGTAGGTCAAGAGAAGCCGAGTGAAGGAAAGCAGGAGGTTGTGAATATCTAGGCTTAACATGGATCTCCCAGGCTTAAGAGACAAAGAGTGAGCTCAAATTCTGGTTCTGGAGCCAGAGTTCTTTGAGGAGCTTGTGCTCAATGTCCTGGTGTGCTATTATTGCTATTGAGGTCTGTGATTAAGCTGAAACTGGTTCCTTAGCTTAGAAAATCAACTCTTGAAATCTAGAACCAAAAATTACACTGTTGTTATAAGAAGGAGAAAATTTGTTAAGTTAAACCTGGTTGAAACCACTATACAAACACACCTTTCAGAAAAAAAGTAGTTTGGATGTATGAAACTGAACTTTGTAATTAGAAAATATGACATTTTGTAATTTAAGAAGTCATTCATGAGACAAATGTCTCTTTTAACTGTGTTGCATTCAAGGTAAGGACTGTTAGGACTAATGTACTTCTTCATGAATATGTAATATACTTCAAAAGATCAAAAGAGTTTCCTAAAACTTTAAGATGGTGACATTCATGGTATTTGAAGTTTTTTTCCCTTGAAACAGATGTCACAAACAAGCATCCTGTGGAAACAAGCTTATTGGTTACCTATTAGTTCTTGTTTTGTGCTTAAACACCATAAAACACACACACACACACACACACACACACACACACACACACACACACACACACACACACACAGAGTCATTCGTGAAGCTTTCATAGGCACTGGAACAGTAATGTGGTACAGCAGTGGCTATACATATGGATTTGGGTGTAAAGGGCAAGAGGACCAGGTAAACACTAAATTGCTAAACAAGCTACTTAATTGTTCTAATCTTGTTTTGTTTTTTGTTTTCCAAGACAGGGTTTCTCTGTGTAACAGCCCTGGCTGTCCTGAAACTCACTCTGTAGACCAGACTGGCCTTGAACTCAGAGATCTGCCTGGCTCTGCCTCCAGAGTGCTGGGATTAAAGGCGTGCACTACCATGCCCAGCTGTTTTTTTTTTTTTTTTTAACTTTTTATTACATATTTATTGATTTATTAGCGTGTGTATGTGGGTGGGTGCATGCATGCCACAGCGTGTCTGTGGAAGTCAGAGGACAACCTGCAAGGGTCAGTGCTCTCCTTCCAGCACACACGGTCTCTGAGACTGAACTCAGGTGATTAGGTTCGGCAGCCAGCGCCTATATCTCTTGAGCCATCTTGCCCATCCAGCTTCTATTTTTTTTTTTTTAAGAACACAAATAGTAATACTCATCTTTACCAGCATGTATGTGGAGACAGAGAGAAAGAGCGAGCAAAAATAATGCCCACATCAGAGGACTGTTTGGAGAACCATTTACTTGTGACTTGGCACAAGTGGACAGTCCGTAAATGGTGGCCCTTACAACAATCCTTGACCATTCCTACGTTCTTACACAGCGTCTCGAAAGAGGAAGTCATCTGACAGATGCTTCCACATTTTTAATCAACTGGTCCTGCGACAGAGACGGAAGCAGCATGGTGTTCATCAGTCACTTTGTAATTGGAGCTCAGGCTGTGGGTGGAGTTTAATCAAGGCTCTGGACTCCTGGTCTACAGTTCTTCCCCTCTGCACTGAGCTGACTACAGTGTCATAGTTTCTGATGGTACATAAGCCCTGAATTTGTTTATGGGTTGAAAAACAAATAAGTGTTACTACAGTCAAGCTGACAGTTGAGAAAGTATATAGAACAAAATGTGTAACTGCTTACCAGAATGGGCAGATTCCTAATTCAGCATGGGTTGTTTTTTTTCTAAAACTTTAAAAAACGTTGACCACTTACTCGTTCTGAACTTTTCCTTGAGGGCATCCAGATCCTCCTTGAGAGCCACTTGCATCCACACCAGGCCGACACAGGCCACCACACAGGCGGCCAGGATGACAAAAGCACAGAGGGGGTAGCAGATCTTGCAGCATCGTAAGTAGTCTCCCCTACCACGAGAACACATTCGAGCACGAGTGAGGAAGCAGCTGTGAGAACAGCTCTATCAGCAACAGTATGCGGCACCCTGCTATTATCTTCTCTAGTGACTGACCCGTGGATTGACCAGGGGACGCAGGATAATACATTCACGTCTAATAGCAGCAGGTTGAAAATGACTGAATAATAGGACCTATGGAAAGTTCTATTGGGTACAAAGGTTTCACACCGCACAGGAAACAGGGAGTTCCCATGGGTCATGGGAAGTATCTGTGGGCTCTGGATTATGGCTGTCAATTCTGGAGGGGGGTCTTTGGAGCTAAACTCAAGACAGGCGTAGTGGCACATGCCTATAATCAAGTACCTGGGAGGTAGAGGTAGAAGGATTGCAAGTTCTATGCCAGCTTGAGCAAGTTGATAAAATCCTGTTTTACAAAACAGTGGGGGATGTTTGCTTGGTGCTAGAGAGGGTGCTTTTCTACCGTGCATGAGAACACAGCTCAATCCTTAGTACTAAGGAAAAAAAAAAAAAAAAAAAAAGAAGAACGGATGGAAAGCAGGGTAAAAATGAGTGGTTCTATGTAATTCTATCCCTGCACTGCAATTTACCTAGCTCTTTCTCTCTCAAATATATGCTCACTTACCCAAGGAGACCTTGTTTCATTTATTGAAACTTCATAAACTTTTGACCAAGTTTTACTGCAAATGGAATGAAAGAAATAAGACCTGTTGGTTTAAGTGTGGATACCTGATATTTTTTAACCTACTGCCTTAGGAGGACAGAAATAGAAACATGCTGGATTTCACACCAAACTTCACCCTAGCCTTCAGGTCTAAACTAACCCAGCAGGGTATCAGATGACCTTCACAAGACAAACTCGGAATGGTCCTTAGCTACCCTCTGAAAAAGTCAGGTAAAGAAACCATGCCCTAACAAAAAGACACAGAGATTATGAACACACTAAAAGATCAGAATTCTTGGCCCCCAGGCCCTCTGCCTAACACTTGTTTCCACATCCCAACAGAATCCCTTTTTTCTTTTAGTCTGGTCTCAGATAGGGCCCAAGGTTCAAACACGAAGGTTTCCTTTAGCTAGCTCATAAAACTGACCTCTTAACCCCCAAATCCTCAAAGCTCATTTGTTTTGTGGTTGCTCTACCTGAAACTGGTTTGGGGAAAGATTCCTTTCTTTCTTCTTTTTTATTTATTTATTTATTTTTTGGTACCCTTACCTTCCATACTTGTAAGGTTCATACTTTCTACAGTATGCCCCTCACCATAATCTCCCATCACCAATACCAAATCAAGCTCATTGAGAAAACATGAGATAATTATCGGCCTTAAGGTCCCTTGACCTACTTTTTAAAACTGCCTAGCCCCCAGAGCCTCTCATCTCTGCCTCCATTAGTAAGTAACCTTATCACTCATTTTTGGGCTATGGGCCCATTCCCCAAGTTCACACTAACTCTACTTGGATCTGGAGATCTTGCTAGACATTAGAGTGACCTCTTACTCTTCATTCAGGATTTGAACTTGCCTTCTCCAGCACCCTTTCTCCCTCTTTGCTTTCCAAGGCCTTTTTCCTGTTTTCTTCCCAAGGACTCCCCTGCTCCTTCTCACCCATTTGCCTAGCTTAGGGCAAGATGCCTTTTGCCCATTTAAGCCCTCACCACTGCTCCACTCACTTGGCAAAACGAGAGCGATTTCCAATTGCTCCAAACTCCTCTTCTTCCTCTGAGCTGGACTCCGAGTCTGAGTCAGGAGGTTCAGTGCGAAGCAGGCGGTGGCTGCTTGGGCCTTTCTTGGGCTTCTTTCTCCGGCTGTCACCAGCCAGACCGATCAATGCATTAAGTTCTTTGCGTTTTTTCATCTTTTTGTGAGGGGTGAGTGGAGCGCCCACTCCTGAGCTGCCAGGTTCGTACCCGACGCCCAACTCTCTTGCTGCCTTGGAACTGCCTTCCAGGGTTGGAAATCCTGGGCCAGAGCCCCCTGATCACTCCCACCCAGAGGTGAGACTGACCAGATCTACTGGGGGCTGGAGAATGGAGCCCAGAGGAAACTGGACGCAGATGGATGGGGGAAAGTTACATAGAGATGGCCAAGGAACTGGTGATCCAAATGGACAAATTCCTAGAACAACTATTACCTGCCAAAAGGAAAATAAAACAAAACAAAACCACCCGCTAAGTCAAGAACAAGATTCTTAGCCCTGTAGGCAGCCAGTATTTCTAGGAGTGCTCCAGAAGCTGAGAAAAGATAACACAAAACTAAGGTACTTTGGATCTCTGGGATAAGATGCCCAATGTAGAGGGAAAATAAACTTAGAGAACAAGAGACTTCGCAGAGCAGGCAGTGAGTAGTCGCTAATCCTTGGCTGGAGAGGTGGCGACAGGAGAGGGCACTGACACTGCCTGGGCACTTAGAACACGCCCAGGCAGGAAGCCGGCTGGGTTTAGGGATGATCACCTTTTTGTGGCTTCTGTCCTGAGTTTGAAAGACCGGCGAGAGAGGAGCCGGAGCCTGGGGAAACCCCAGCCCTGCTGTCAGGGCCTTGGGGGGGGCGCGGTGCTGGGGGGCGACCACCGCTCGGTCAGCCAGAAGTGCTCCGAGTGTGAGGTGTTCCGCCACCGGCGACTTCCGCAACTCACACGCGCTGCGGCCAGTCCAGCCGCACCTCCGGCCCCTGCTCCGGCCGCGGCTGCTCAGGACGCGCTGGCGGTGGTGGCGGCGGCGGCCGCAGGCTCCAGACCCGGGCCATCGCTCCAGCCCCAGCTCACTTCCCCTTTGGCAGCGGCCCCGGGCACAGCCTGCCAGTAAGCCGCGCCCCCATTGGGCGCTCCTGGTGACGTCACGCAGGAGGGCGCGAGCGGTGCTGGGCAAGTGGAGAGTTAAAGGGGCCGCGGATCTGGCCCCGGTGGGGTCTGGTGTCAGGTTAGATAGGCGCCTCCCGTCCCGCTCCCCGACCCCAGGGGGCACCGTGGGAGACTGCAGCTCCCTGGAGCGGAGGTGGAGTTTTGCTTGCCGAGGGGCAGGGGCGGGGACTGGCACCCGACGCTCCACCAGCTCAAAGTTCTTCAGAGGCTCCACCCCTCTTACTCTTAGGCTGTTTAGGCTTGTCGTTTTAATGGCCCAGTTCCATCCATCCATCCATCCATCCATCCATCCATCCATCCATCCATCCATCCATCCATCCATCCATCCATCCATCCATCCATCCATCCATCCATCCATCCATCCATCCATCCAACCATCCAATAAATGTTTATTGAGGGGACATTACAAGACTGTTCTAGCTCTGGGGATGCTGCAATAAACACAATAACCAATGCCTTTGCCTTCCTGTATAGAATTGTCATATTTAGTAAATAAAACACATAATGCTAGTAAAGTTAGAATACCAGATAAACAGAGGGTTTTTTTTTTTTTTTGACAGAGGCTTTCCACGTAGTCCAGGCTGTCCTAGAACTAGCTATGTAGATCAGGCTGGCCTGGAACTGGCAGAGATCTGCCTGCCTCCACCTCTTGAGTGCTGGGGTTAAAGATGTGCATTGCCACACCTGGCTTAGCTATTTTTTAAATTATAAGAGCCCTCCAATATCTATGGCAACCTCATATTGAAAAATAATTGTGTCAGGTGGTGGTGCACGCCTTTAATCCCAGCACTCAAGAGGCAGAGGCAGGTGGATCTCTGAGTTCAAGGCCAGCCTAGTCTACAGGGTGAGTTCCAGGACAGCCAGGGCTAATAAATAAATGAATAAATGAATGAATAAATAAATAAGTAAATAAATAAGAATTGCTTGTTTATCTGAAATTCAAGTTCAACTGGGCTTCCTTTATTTTATCTGCCGTCCACTCCAGCTTGTGTTCTAGCATGAAGCAACAATAGGTACACATATTACATGTCAGAAGTTGTTATGAGGGAAATGGAAACAAGATAAGGGGAAGAAGTGCTTTTTTTTTTTTTTGATAAAGAGATCTTTGGGTAGAGGTCCTCAGGAAGTGAGGGGGTAAGCAAAAGGGTGGTTCTGGGAAGGCGTGATCAGAAAGATCTGGTTTGGCAAAAAGAGTGATAGGAAATGAAGTTAGAGAGACGTCAGGGGTTAGACCTAGCTGGGTCTTATAACAGTTTGAGAAACCATTGAGGAACATACTCTGGTTTTTCAATTTATAAAAGATGACTCTGGCTACTATGTGGAAAAAATGAAGAAGAAGGAGAAGAAGAAGAAGAAGAAGAAGAAGAAGAAGAAGAAGAAGAAGAAGAAGAAGAAGAAGAAGAAGAAGAAAGAGGAAGAAGCAGCAGCAGAGGCAGAGGAAGGGGAAGAGGAGGGGGAGGGGTCAGAGAAGGACCCAGGAGTTTCTCCAATCTGGCTAGAGATGAAGAGGTTAGATGGGGTGGCAGCATTGGGGATGGATAGTATTCTGTATGCTTCTTGAAGACAGAGCTAAGGTTATTTGTTGGTGGATTAGATGAAAGGGATAAAAAAAATGGGTGGGGGAAAGCCATGGATGACTCCAGAAGCTTGGAATGGTTCAATGGGAAGAGCCTTGTCATTCGTTGAGAGGGAGAAGATTTGGGACAAGCTCAAGAAGCCAATCTGATAACCACATTTGAACTCCAGTAGGCTGCTTGATATTTCCATAAGGAATTCTGGGTAGGAACTGTGGCCTGAAATGTAAACTGGAAACTCATCAGACATCAATGATATTTATGACATAGTGCTTTGAGCTACCTGGAAGAAAATCAAAGTAATTTAAATTTCCATATTCGTACTGTGGCAATTGCACTACCTTTGCCTGAGGATTCCCACTTACAGCTTAGGTGTGTGTCTTGGTTTGTCTTTAAGTGTTTAACCCAGCGATATGCATCCAATTACAACCACCCAATAGATATTTGATGACATGCTTACATAAGTGAAGAGTGTTGCACAGAGGTAGGGGCAGAACTCTGGAATTATGAGATCTGGGGTTAAATCCTGACTGTAATACCAGCTCTGTCCAGATGGTGGCTGCTGGACTTTCCTGGGTTGTTCCCCCGACTGTGTACCTGAGATATGAATCTACTTCACAGGGTAGATGGAAAGAGACAGTGACTGTGGTGATGCTTTTGTGGTACAGATGCTCCATTTTTATTGTTCCTTCTTGTTTCTAGAGCGGCGCTGACCAAGTATAGTAGCTACTAACCATATATGTGAAAGGTACGGGTAAATGGCCAGTTTGGCCCTGTTAAAATGAAGTGAAAATGTTCCATTTGTTCCCTTGGCATCACTGGCTCCTTGCCTAGTAGCTGTATGTGGCTAGTGGCTATAGGAAAGCACAGGCTCATTTCATTCTACCGTCATAAATAGTTTTATTGGTCAGTTCTTCCCTGGTGATTCCCTGATGGACTGGAAATGGACAGATGAGGTTACCAACTTTATGAACTGTTTCGTACACACATCCTATCTATGGTCACCAGGGGTAAGCGAGGTGCCTATTCAGGGTGAGAGGTCTTTCTGTTGCAGACGCTACATCCTTACCGAGGAACTGTGGCTGAGGATCTCAGGGCAGTGGGATAGGGCCAAGGATGCACCGCCCTCCACCCTCATTGCTGGTGGAGCTGGTCCTTCTGCTGAGTCTGCTTTTGGTTTCTCTGCCTGTTTGCTCTTCTGTCTGTCTCTGTTCTGAAGACCACACCTCTGTGTTGGGCAAACATCCCCCAGGATGCTGAGTCACCATCTAAATAAACACTGCATACTTGGTAGTTCTCTTTCTCAGGAGCACTTGGTTACTTCTCTGGTCACTTTCTTCAGAGATGGGACCCTCATGTCCAGGAATCAAGCCAACACCCTCAGAACCAGGGCTCCTGTCCTGAGGGGCCTATGCTGGCCTGCTTCACTAGGACTTTCCGAGGTAGTGGCTGTCTCTTCTTTGGGGATCCTCATTTTGTCACCCCGAGCCTCTGGATCCCTGTTGACCTATTCAAAACTTGTCTGAAAAGCTATGCGAGTGTGTGGTGGTGATGGTGCCACTGCCATTCTGGGGCCTCAACATTCTTGTCTGTAAAACGGGTATATGAATATTTCTTGCCCAGGCTTTAACTCGGTGCTGTCTTGATGAGGCGGCAGCACAAAAATGCTTTATGTGCCATGATGTGTCATGTAGGGTGGGTGACTATTATCTGCCTCATGCTTCTGGCAGTTCTTGGGGGCAAGGGTAGGCAAGATCACTGTGGTCAAAAATCACAGCCCGTGCAAGTGGTGAATCCACACTTGATAACTGTGCTACCTTGGAAGACTCCCCAGAGGGAGTCTTTTTCATCTGGGAAAGATGAGAGTGGGCCGAGTACCCAGGATTCTGGTCACAAGTTGGATGAAGTCTCCTAATTCCTGTGCCGAAGCTCTTCAGGACCTTAGAATCCTCCTCCCAGGACCCAAGTCTTGGTCTGAAGGCTGCCACTTGGGAGCTGTGTGATCTTAGACAAATCTCTGAGCCTCTCTGGACTTCAGTATCTACTTCTGTCAAGTGTTTTTAATTAACAGCACTCCTGATTGGCTGCATGATTTATGAGGAATAAGGCATTTTCACTCCAGGCCTTAGTTTAAACAAGCTCTCCTCTTACTGTGATTTTTCTCGGACTGTCAAGCTGTTTCTTGCTCTCTGTTTAGGGCTGTCATCCTGGAGATAGGACGTGGGCGCAGAGTGTGGACAGCTATAGGACTCTGTCCTGTGCCTGGGCAGACACACCTTCCTTCCCTTCCTCTCCCTCTTCCTGCATTGATTCCCCACAGGAGCAGAAGGGGGAGTGCCTTGGGATCAGGGAAGAGGCAGGCGCCTGGAAATCTATCTCAGAGGTGGTAGTTTAGAGGAGGCAGTTCTTTGTGTGAGCCTAGGCTTTAA